CTAAAAAATTTTCCTTCTTCCCAATTATAAATATTTGTTAGATTAATTTGTTTATATAAAATTCTGATTTAATTTTATATATTAATTAAAATAGTACAAAATAAACAATATTTTTAAAAGATAACTTTGAGTGTCAATACTAAAAGCGGGAAAAGGAAAAAATAAAATATTTATAAATGCACAAATATTTTTGATAAAATTATTTATTTGATACCTAATATTTTGATTATTCCTATATTATGCTTTTTTGAGTGAAAAGTGAAGATAAGAATTAATTCTTTATTTTTATAAATTTTTTTTTTAATTCTAATTAATAATTCCAATAGAAATTGATAAAAAGCATGTCCATTACGTAAAATATACCCTCCTCAGTTTTCACTTTTTTCAAAACAACAAAATATATATTCACTATTATTAATCTAATAATCTAAAATATCTTTCCTAATTAAAAAAATTTTTTTCCTATTAACCGGTAACCGCAATATCATTGCGGCGTTCAAATCGAGGGAGAAACAGTCCAAATTTATGTTCAATTCCAGAAAATGTGGCTGCTGCAAGTTTGTAACCGCCAATATGATGAGGATTGGCTGAAGCTTGATCTAGCATTGTTGCATGGGTTGAAGTCTAAAAAATTAAAAGAAAAAATAATTTTAAACATCCCCAATCACCTCAGATCCACTAGGTCTATTCCCTCCAAAATCAACATAAAATAGACGTTGTAATAATTCATAGGTAAGTAATGTGACGCCAAATTGTGGACTAGAACGTAAGACACGCGCTAAAAATTTAAAAATTATTTTTTGGTATTTTTTTTAACCCTAAAATTAAATTTAATTAAGTCAGTATGTTTTCTTCAATAAAAAGTATTTACTTCCTGCTCCTTTCCAAAGAGAACCAGGACCCTCTTCATGCAATAACTAAAAAGAAAATAAAATTATCATTACATGCGTACTAAAATTGTTTAATTATCTCAAGTAAGCACTTTGACAGTTTTTAGTTTTTACCATAAAGTTTTTGGGAAGTTAATAAAATAATTATATATTTTGAGAATGGATCTGCGCACTAAAAAACTGTTATTAGTACACGACTTGAACCTGTTCTTTCTTAACCTTTCTAAAACAGTCAATGACACCAGTATAAGTAGTTTGACCAGCTCGAGACGCTACTTGAAGGCGTGTTTTGATAACATCAGCTAAAAATAATTTTAATTAAAAATTTATTAATAAATTTTACCAGGTGTAACGAGTGCAGCGGCAGGCGCCCCAGCAATCAAAGACGAAAGTATTAAAGAAAAGGGACTATTTAAACCCTAAAATTAAAAATATATGCCAATTATCACTCCTAAAAACCTGAGAATCTGCAGTTAAAAGCTTCAAATGTGCATAAAGAGGAAAGAAAATACCCGAAAAAGGAATATCACGTAACCAACAAGCTCTAAAATTTAAAAATAGATAAAAAAAATATCAAAAAATTAACCTTGCTCCCTTATAAATACCCGTAAAACCCAAATCTTTTATAACGTCGAGTAAACGCACTTTAGGACCATTAATTATTTCACCAGCAGTTTGAAGGCGAATTTTAATAATTTCTAATGGATTTGTGACAGCTACCTAAATAATTAATAAAAATAAAATATAACTTTTAATTAATTTCGATAAGTTAAGTTACTTGAACAGTAAAACAAAGAATAAGAAATTTTCTAAAATATTTTACAATTAGTTCAATTATTTAAATTACAAATTTGTTAAATGGAAAGAAAACCATAAACAATCTTTCAATGATTGTTTATTCATTTAAAAACTCGAATGTTTAAAAAAATTTTTTAATTAAAAAAATATACCTGACAAGTCCCAGCACTAAAACCAGCCAAAATTTCTCCATATAAAGGAATTCGTCCATCTTTTGTAAATTTATCACGAACAAAATCGTTTGCAGTTAATTTAATTGCTTTTTCTGGCGCAACCCCCATAATTTGAGGTAACAGGCCACGATAAAAACCAAGAAAACCTTCAAATTTTAGTATTTTTTTGAAGCAGTCATAGCTGAAATATTTAAATAAAAAAGAATATTACTATAAAGGAAAGAGTCATTCCTGTACGGTCCCAAGGACGACTCTTAAGAACTTAATGAAAATTGAAAATAACAACAAAATTTCAATAAATCATTTAAAGAAGCTAAAAAACGAAAAAAGACAAACCTATTTTTGTACATAACCTCCCCAAGATAGGATCCAGTACGTTGATTTTGCATACGTGTCTTCACCAAATCAATAGGATATACGGCTGTTGCACCCAATATTCCTCCAATTGCACCAAGAGAAAATCGATAAATACTTTCCAAAAGCTTTAAAATAAATTTTAAAAAAGCTTAAAAATTAAAGAAATACCGCAACAAAAAATCCACGGTCTTCTTTATTTTCTACAGCTTTAACATTTGTTATACGAAAGATTTGAGATACTCTTTTAAGTCGCTCAGGATCAATTTTATCCAAATCAGCCAAGTCAATTGCACGAGTACCTGGGTGATTGAGTTCTGCCAAACGGAAGAGAATTTCTACCTTAACGCATAAAATATTTTTAAGTGAAATTGCTTCAAACGTCACAAATTTGAATCCTTGAAAATTATTTTGATAAATAGAAATTAACCTCATAAGGAGTAATCTGAGCATACGCTTGAGTCGCTTGAAGAAATTCTTCTCTTGTAACCATTAATCCAATATTTCCACGTGAAATGCTCATATAAATACGTTTCATTAACTCCATTTTTGCAAGCAAAGAATTAAAAGCTTGGTAGAAAGGAAAGCGAACCTACAAATAGAACAGAATGTTAATGAGTAAAAATGAGTCAAATTGACAGAATATCCAGAGAATGGATGTTTTATAAAAAGCTAACTTTATGTGCACTAGACCCTCCACCAGCAACTGCAATCAAATTTTGTCTAGAAAAATCAGTAAGTAAATGGCCTTTCACAGTAGTCATAATTGTAAAAAAATCAGTTGCTGATATGCTTCCATCATTTTCCTTGTCAAAACTAAAGAAAAAGTTTATCTTACTTTCAAAGTAAAACCTTTTAAATGCTTGTACTCCTTGTTCTTCGTAAAAATCATGAAGTAGCTGACAAAAGGCATGATAGCCTATTGATCGTTGTTTCTTTCTGAAAAATATTTTTGATATTGATGTAAGCAAGAATTATAAAATTGAAGAGCTCGTGTAACAAAGATAAAAGGCAAGAGGACAAAAGGTGTCATAAGGATAAAAGCCCCACCCAAAGCGGCACATAAAACAAAGAATGTCCCGTATAAATTAATGACAATAACATACTATGAAATGTGCAGAAAATAGAAAAATATCAAAAAGGAAGGGAAAAGGAAATTGAAAATTTCAGTTTATAAACTGCATATTAATAAAAAATTCAAATTTATTTAAAAACTTACGCTCCAAAATATTTTTTAATGAATTCACAATCGAAATCAAAATCAAGTTGCATCAAAGGCGTTGTGTGGCGAATCACCTTTTAAAGATTTAATAATTTAAAAATTACTTTAAATACCTTTTCAAATTCATCAGCCGTAATAGATTCAGAAGCATTATTATCAAAAATTTCAAAGGCAGTTAAATAGAGCGCATCGGGAGAACAAAGTGTCGCTTAAAATATAAAAATTTATTTACTATAAAAAATTAAAAATTTAGTTAGCAAAATTCTTGATTAAAAAATAAATTTTTGGGTTTTAAGAATAAGAAAATACCCTCAAATGCAAAAAATTCTTCAAAAGAAATAATCCCATCCTTCGAAGTATCAGCAGCACTAGCCAAAAGACGAACAGTTTCGCGATTGTAATTCTCATCGGTATACAGATTAAGATATCTAATAAAAAATTTTAATATGGCAAAATCAAACTTCCGGGACCCCGAGGATAAATTCCAAAAAAATCGCGGATCCCGAAACTCAAAAAATCCGGGATTTCGGGATCCCGTCCCGTGCCGGTCTCTAATAAAAAGAAACAAAAGGACAAAACAAAAGAGGATTTTAAAAAAAATTTTAAGAAGAATAATTAGAAAATAAGTCCCCTAGAGTTTGAACTTCAAGTTTACTAAAAATTAGTCAATAATTCTGGATAAGGAAAAATCAATGTGTGAAAAAAATTTCCTTTTTAAATCAAATACCTCTGAACAAAATCATTAGCTGTCATAAACTTCCTTCCAGACTTTTCAACACTTGCATATTTATTGAATATAGCAAGTAATTCATCAGGATTAGCACGTGCAATAGAGCCAGGCAATGCACTCACCTTTAATATTAAATTAAAAAAAAATAATTTTAAAAACCAGTTGATGTTTTTCATAACATTTCGCAGTCTGAACCATTTTAGAAGATAAAAATTTAGATGAAAGAAAGGGCAAATTAAATGGATAAATGGATGCAGGATTCTTATTATTATTTTCCATTTTTAGATATAGAAAAAAATAATTATAAAGTTAACTGAAAGTTAAAAATGGATATTTAAAGAGACAAGAAGTAAAATAGATTAATAAAAAAAGGCAGAATATTGGGGGGGGGGGCATAGATGGAACAAACTTCACTGTAGTTTAAGTAGTTTGAACTTGAGTGCACAAAATTGAAAATCCGAGATCCCATAACGGAATCTCTCAAAACCCTTCGAAAATCTCAAACAATGGAAAGTACCAGCTGCAGCTGGCAGCCAAAGAGAATAGACTCAAATGTCAATGAAATTATTATACTCAAATGTCAAAAACGAGTCAAGTAGTCGCAAGCCGTTTAATCGCCAGAATTTATATTTTAAATAAAAATAGTACAAAAAAATGCACGAATAGAAGCTCCGCGATTTTTCGGCCGCATAAATTTGTTAGTTCGCGACTAAACGGGTGCTCTCTAGAAAAATCTTTTCATTTTACTTTAATCTTTTAATTTCTCAGTTATTCTAATTTCTTAACGTCATTTAGAAATTTTGATTTTTTTTTAATTTTTTATTAAGATTTTGATGAAAGAAATGACTGACGAACAGCTTAGTCTTCTTAAGCAATTTGTTCTAATGTGTAAGGCTAATCCTGGACTTTTACATCAGCCGCAATATGCCTTTTATCGTGAATATTTGGAAAGGTTTTGTTTTTGAATGAAATTATAATTAACTTAAAATTTAGTTTGGGAGCTAAAATTCCATCGGGAACTGAATCTGGAGGTTCAAAATCGGAATCTTTTAAGAGACAACCTGAGGAGACTTTTGAAGAAACTCAAGAGGAGGAGAAGGAATCTGATTTGCCACTTCCTGAATTAGACAATTCTGGTGTTATTGAAGACAAGACTTGTGGGGAAGAATATGCGATGGGTGACCCAGAGAAGGAAGTTAGTGATGAAGATATGGAAAAGGCACAGGAACATCGTCAGGCAGCGCAGATGGCTTTTGCTGATGGTATTTTTCTTTAAGTTTAATCGTCTAATCAAAGTTCTTACGTGATGATTATAAAGTCTGAATATACCAATGGCTTAGGCGAAATAGAAGGTGAATACCTATTATCGAGTTTCTGTGTATATTTTTTAGTTCTTTAAGTTTTAGATCACACCCATTCTTGGGAACTTTGTTTTTCTTTTTAAGGTGACTATGAGAAATCTGTTGAGGAATATACCAAAGCAATTGAATTCAATCCTGGTCTGGCCATCTTACATGCTAAAAGGGCAAGGTATTTTTTAAAATTTAGTATTTAAATTACATTTATCTTTTTTTAGTACTTTACTTAAAATGGCAAAGCTTTCTGCGGCTATAAAAGATTGTGACAAGGCTATTGCTATTAATCCTGACTCGGCTGCTGCTTATAAATTCCGTGGAAGGGCTCATCGGTTTTTTTGTTTTAAGTTATTTTAAATATTTTTTTAGTTTATTGGGTAATTGGGCAGAGGCACATCTTGATTTGGCTCTCTCTTGCAAATTGGATTACGACGACCAGGCGAATGAATGGTTGAAAGAAGTAGAGCCAAATGTAAGTTCTTATAATTATTATCGAGATAGCTTTCCGTGGAAAATTCTCTTTAACAAAAATAAAATTTGTAAAAATAAAATTTTTATTTTTTTTGTAAAAATAAATAAAAAAATAAAATTTGTTGGTTGTTTCCAAATTTTTAGTTAGAATAGGGCAAAGGGTGAAGAGATTTTCTTTAAAATATATTATGTTAACAATAAGTTAAAAAGTTGATTTTTAGGCAAAGAAGCTTCATGATTATCAACGTGCTAAAGAACGCCTCGCTGATGAGAAAGAGACTCGTGCTCGTCAAGAACGCGTTCGTCGAGCTCAAGAGGAGAATAAGCGAGCGGCCGAAGAGAAGCAGAAATATGGGGAGGATAGTGATGATTTTGATGGGGTGAGTTTTGGACAATGGAATTGATCTAAAATATTTTTAATATTCAGGACGTTCCTCCAGGACTTTTTGAATCATTCAAGAACAATCCTGAATTAGCCGTAAAAATTTTAAAAAATTTTCTTTCAATTTTTCAAAATTAAATTCAGAAAATTATGGAAGAAATTAAGAAGGATCCGTCAAAAATTGGCCAGTATTTGAATGATCCAAATGTTCTTAATTTAATTGGAATGATGGGTGGCAAAGGTGGTGGCGGGTTTAACCCGAGTTCTTTTAATATGCCTACTGGTAAATAAAATAGTTTTAAGAAAAACTTTTTTTAAATTTTAGGCGACACTGATGACTCGACCCCATTTAAACAAGAACCTCCAAAAAAGGCGCCAGAGCCTGATCTTGATTAAAGAATTAAAGAGAAGATAATTATAAAACTTTGAGAAGAGGCCAATTTGTTGGAATTAAAACAAAAATATAATTGACTCTAAATATATTTTGATTATTTAATTTATATCGTGACTTTTATCTTATTTTGAGTAAATTGGCCTTATAGGCAAATAATGTTTGGATCGTGAACATAATTTTATTAGACAAATTTTTTAGAATTCGATTTAAAGAGAATTTTTAAAATCCTTTTTCTTGACTTGAATTGATGAATGGTTATGTTAATCTGGATCTAAATGTCTAGTCATGCATTTTTTAGATAATTATTCGAAGTCAAGATAAAGGATAGGTTGCAAAAAATGTAGGTATTCTCTTATTAATCCCGAAAATGAGTCATGCATTTTTTAGATAATTATCATTCCCAACCTCTCCGGAAAATCTGGCTCCATGCTCAAATTTTAACTGACCCGATACTCGGACTTTTTCTCGATCCGAAAAATTTTTGAAACCCCGACCTGACATTCTCAACTCGTGACATCCCTGGTTGGTTAAAGTCGAAAAAAAAAAGAGAGAAAAAGTCTTTTCCTTGCAAAGTTTAAAAATGTTCTTAATTTTGGCGTAATGCAAAAAAGGATTTTTGATGAAATTTTGTCCTACAGATTAATTTTTTGTTTTTGTCTTATTTTTCTTGTTTTCTTGTTTGTTTCTTCTAGTGAACGACATATCGACTTTTTCTTAAGGAAAAAAAGTCGTTTTAAAAAAATCTACAATTATTCGCGAACGACTTTTTTTTAAACACACAACGCCAGAACTACGTAAATATCGATGTTTTGCGCCAAACGATTGCGAAACGACTTTTTTGTGTCTCTTTTTCTCTGCTCTGTCATTATATTTCCTTTCTCTTTTTCTATTAATTTTCGTTCGTGTAGTCTCTCCTTTGGAATTTGCAATTTTCCATTTTTATAAATGTTCAGTCCCTTTTCTGTAATTTTTAGGGATTTTTCCACATATATTCTTACTAGATGGAGAGGAGAAGTAAGAGGAGATGATCCATCATCAGATGTGCTGCTTACCTTGATCCTGCCGTTTGTTTCCCCACCTCCCCTAAAACACATCTCAAATTAAAAATCAAGACAAACTTTTTTGTGAAATTAATTTATGTATCCGTGATTCAAAAACAAAGTAAATAATTATAAGGACGACAAAACAAAATAAATTTAAAGAAAAACAAAGTCAACGAGGAGATCAATCCATCAAAACCTTTTACATTAAAAACCATTCGGTAAATACGTGAAGCGTGTTGTTGTGGATCTTCAAGAGAGAAGCCAGAAGTCAACAAAGCTGTCTCATAGAGCAAAACAACCAAATCTTTGGCAGTTTTGTCATCTTGGTCGGAGTCGATCGATTTGAAACAGACACTTTCTGAACTTTTTTGTCCAAAATATCCTAACACTAAGAATAAAACAAATATTCCAAAATTCTTTAAACAAAATCTTAAATACCTTAATAACTTTGCAAAGTTTCTCAAATTTAACTTTATCTTCTTCAAACTTCTTCTTTTCCTCTTCACTTTCTGGCAACTCCAAACCTTCTTTAGTCACGCTAACCAACTTCTTTCCATCAAATTCTTTCAATTGTTGAATGCAATATTCATCAATTGGATCAACCATATAAATAACTTCAAAACCTCGCTTCTTAACACGTTCAACAAAAGCTGAGTTTTGAACAACTTCTTTAGACTCGCCAGTAATATAATAAATGCAAGTCTGATTCTCCTTCATTCGTCCAACATAATCCTTCAAGCTAACAAGTTCATCGCCAGAAGAGGAAGCGTTGTAACGGAGATATTCGGCAAGCTTTTTACGGTTGACAGAATCTTCGTGAATACCCAACTAAAGAACAAATAATTTTCAAAAAAACATTTAAAAAAACCTTAAGATTCTTGCTGAATTGTTCATAAAATTTCTTAAAGTTGTCCTTGTCTTCAGCAATTTCATCAAAAAGTTCGATACACTTCTTGACCAAATTCTTTCGGATCACTTTAAGAATTTTGGATTGTTGGAGCATTTCACGAGAAATGTTAAGAGGAAAGTCCAATGGAGAGAATTCCAATGGAGAGACAACGACATAGAAAATTAATAGAAAAAGAGAAAGGAAATATAATGACAGAGCAGAGAAAAAGAGACACAAAAAAGTCGATTCGCAATCGTTTGGCGCAAAACATCGATATTAACGTAGTTCTGGCGTTTTGTATTAAAAAATAGTCGTTCGCGAATAAAAGTAGTTATTCGCCGCGAATCGACGAAAACGTAGATATGTCGTTCACTAGTTTCTTCAACAATGTTTTTATAAATTTTCTAAAATAACTTAAATGGAATTGTAGGAAAAATCATAAATTTTGCTCTAAATTTTAATTTAATAAATAATGGCTTCTTATGCTTCATCATCAAACTCTGGAACGATTGACGAGAAATGTCATACATTATTCGATGGCGTTAGGAAGATTAATGTAAATTTACATTTTTTTATAATTTAAAAGTTTTCTTTTCAGCAACTTTCTGAGGCTCTTGTTGCTCAAAATGCTTATTTAATTAAGCGTGTTCAAGACTTGGAGGAGCGTTTACAACAAGAACTTGACCACAAGAAGCGTTTGCATCAAGAGCTTGAAATTAGTCGTTGGGCAACACATCGTGAATAATGGATGATGAAAAGAAAAGAAATAAAAAAGAATATTAACAGCCAGTAATAAATATATTATTCTACATACATTTTACTATCAATTTTTTAATATTTTAATTTTACATTTTTTTTTTGAAAATGGCTGATTGATGCATATAAATTTTAACTTTTACTAATTTTTGTTTGATTTCTAGTTTTTTTCCTTTTAATATCTTATAGTAATTCAATGTTGTATTAATTGTGTGTTTGTTGAGAGTTTTAAATTAGGCCTTGAAGACCTGTATAAAATCTTAGTTTCAGTTTCTGTATAGAGGGGGTGTGCCGAAGCTTATTTTTAAAGGCGAAAGTCAATTTAAAAAGGAAACATGAAAGGCGAAAGTCCGGCGAAATTTTGGCGAAAGATGGAAAGGCGAAAGGCACACCTCTTCTTTATAGGCATTTAAGAATCATGTTTTTCGCCTTTTGGTTTACTTAAACTCGTAAAATCATTAATTTTTCAGGAATCATAATATAAACTTTTTAAAATTTTAATTAATAATGATTTCTTATGCCTCCTCAATTAATTCCGTCACCATCGATGAAAAGCGTGTTATGGTATCCAATGGTGTTAGAAGGGTTAGCGTAAGTTATTTTATTTATAAATGAAATAAAATTTTTACATTCTTTTTAAGTTTGCACAAGACTCTCCAACCTATACCAACAACAATTCCCAATTTATTGCTTCACCAATTTTGGCTGGTTATCCACCTATTTGGCAGCCTCCAAATAATGGCCCTGCTATTTGTCGTATTTGCTATAGTACTGAAAATTCTGGACCTAAAACTGGAGAACCTTTAATTTCTCCTTGTCATTGTAAAGGAACTATGGGACTTTATCATCGAACTTGTTTAGGCAAATGGTTGGCTGTTTCTAATAAGTTTGTTTTTTTCTTAATTATTTTAATAGTAAATTTTTTGGTTAATTGAACTTTAATATTTCTGTACCCGTTATGGTCTTTTTAGTTTTACAATGATCTTTCAAAAACTCCTAAACTTTAAGTAGATTTTTAAGAAACTTTCGGGCACTCCTACCGTTTAAGTTGGCCGCCGTTGTTTGCTAGAAAGAGAGCATGAAATATACGGGTCTTATAAACGGCGGCCCCCTTAAACGGTAGGAGTGCCCTATTTTGATTTCTCTTATGGTTTAAAAGTTTTAACAACTTGGGATCTTGTTGAATTATTTTATCTTTTTTTCATCCTTTTAATATTTAAAATTTCTTTTAAAATTATTTTTATCATTTTTAAAGGACTTGCTGTGAAATTTGTCAATTTCCTTTTCAAATTAAACGGTTTATTCTTAAATTAATTTCAGTTTTTATTTCAATTTTTAAGGACTAAACGTTCAATTTGGGAATATTTAAAAGATGAAGATGCTCGTTTAGCTAGACGAAATTTAATTTTGGACTTCCTTTGCTTTTTAATAATAACTCCTTTGGTTATTGTTAGTTCAACAGTATGCACAATATCTTCAGCACATTTAATTAAAGAAGAGAATGAAAACCGTACTCAAAGCACTTTGGGAATTTCTGGAGAATTGAGATTTGAAATTGCTATAGGTTTTTTAATTTGTTTTGAATTTAGAAAATTCTATTGAACTATTGAATATTGAACCGGACAGACTCCCTTTTTCCTTCCGAATTTTTCCCCTATATTTTTGCAAATCAAAATTTCCTTTATAATTTTTGCCTACTATCAAACAAAAAGGATTAATTTTGATAATTTATTTCTCATTCTTCCTCCCTAAATTGCGGGGGGAAAAAGGGGGTTTGTCCGGTTCAATAAAACTTTTTATTTTGTTTGTAAATTTTCTTTTTTGGTCTTCAGAAAATAACCCTTAGAGACTACCTTTGATTTGAAATTTAAACAAGAGAAAAAACTTTTGGATTTAAAAAAATTCGAAATTATTTACAAAAAACGTTTTATTCAATTTATTTTAGGTCTTCTATTTCTCAGTGCTGTTCTTGTTACTGCCTTTTGCATTTGGTTGGGAGTTACAGTTGCTTTTCATACAAAAGCGCTAAGGAATTGGCAAGCTACACATTGGGTTTGTTATTTTTATAAATAATTTTTAACTTTCTGTTTAATTTTTAAGGACTACAAAGTAGTAGATCAACTTAGTTTGGAAGAGTCATTGCTAATTAATGGTTTTGATGGAAGATAGGCTTTTAATACATTTAATTTTTAATTCTAAAAATATATTTAATTTTAAGTATTTTTCTCTTCATTTTATTTTTTTCTGGAATTGAAATTTTCGGATAACAAATTAAATGGTCTAATGACTGCTTCGGGTTTTTCTCTCTTTATTCCCTCACATTTTCCTCTAAAACATCCATAAAGTATTACAAATAACAGAACAAAATAAAAAACAATTTTAAATTCTGATTTTTTGTGTTCCGTTAGACAAAGGAAAGAGAGAGAGGGATATTTAAGAAAGACAATTCCGGAACAGACAAAATTAAATTTTAATTTTAAAAATAAAATGAAGAGTTAAATAGATAATTTATTTACTCATTAACTCCTTCAAAATATTTCCTGTTAAAATTAAAATGTGACAAAATGTTACAAATTAATGACTAGTATTTTATTTTTTATTTTTCCTTTTAATAGATTGGACACCCCCCAATCCTAATCTTACACTTTCCTTAACCCTGTATTTTATGTATGTACTATATTTTTTGTATTGTCTACACTATTTTCTATTTAAATATTTTAATTTATTTTGAGTTTAAAAATAGTAATAAAATAATTTCTAACAATGATTAGTTTTTTTTGTGCCTTAAATGTTTTTTTTATTTATGCGGAAACAAAATGACAAACGAAATATTAAGAGCTTTAAGAGATTCGTTTCCGAAGCTGGCACTCCTTTCTAAAATTAACATATACCCTTATAAATTTATTTACACATAAAACTTTTAATAGAATATATATGTTACGACTTATTTAATACAATATACATATATCTACATATCACCTATCAATTACGTTTTATTTATTTTCTTAGTTGCTGGGATCCGAATTTTCATCATCCTTATTGCTTTCTTTGCCAGATTTGATTTCCGATTTTCCAGCTTTTGGCTCTTTAGTAGGTTTTCCTTTTGCCTCTTCCTTCATTTCTTCATCCTCCTCATCATTATCAGCGTCTTCAAGGGATAAGGCTCCTAAAATTAAATAAGAATTGTTTTAGACTCAAAATGATTTTATAAGAGAGAACATTTCTTTTTTTAAACCTTTTTTTCTAAAAATCTTAGATTCATATGACAGTCCGGTACATCTGATATTCCGATTTTTCTATTAAAACGAGGGAAGGAACCATCCTTTCTTTAAAAGTCCTAAAACAATTTCCCCACCTTCAACTTTTGAAGAGAATCCTTCTTCGGGTTGATCAATCATCGAATCTTTAGCCTCCAATCCTCCTGCGTGAGCACCGCCTTTCTTCTTCTTCTCCTTCGTTTTATCTTTGGATTGATCAACTAGAAACAATAGTTTTAATTTTTCTTTTATTGTCTCCATACTTACCTTTATCTTTTGAAGAGATTTTTTCTTCATGCTGATCCTTAGCCTCCAATCCAACAGCAACTTTCTTCTTTTCCTTCTTTGCTTGAAGGGCAGCTTCTTTCTTTTCTTTCTTCATTCTCTTCATTTCTTCTTGTTCAAATTTTTCATCTTCAATAATCATAATAGAATCTTTAGCCATCAATCCTGCTGCTATAGGTGGTCGAGGAACAACTTTCTTCGTTATCTTCTTGATTTGAACAATTTTCTTTCCTTTAGCTTGAACAGGCATTTCCCCTTTTTTAGCTTGGCCAGGTTTTTGTAAAACTTCGCCTTGCTTTCCCTTTGCCGAAATTTTTTTATTTGACTTTTCAAATGCTGGATCTGTTACATTCTCAGCTAACATATCGTCCGTTTTTGGAACTGTTCCATCACCAGATGCTTAAATTTAAAAGAAAATTATTTTGAACTTTTAAGTCACTAGTACAGTAATCTAAAAGTTGTTTGTCCTAGAATGACTAGAGGGACTTTGTTTATTCTATTGTTTTAGAAGGAAATTTCTTTCCCTGTGGCCGTTTATTTTCAAGAACAAGTGTAAGTACCAATTATATAACTCGGGGTCATAAAAAGAATGGACAGACTGTACTTTTAGTTGCTTTTTTTAAAACAAAATTTATTTACTTGCTAACGATCCATGAAGACTAAGACTCGGCCCCTCAATACTATTGAATCTCATTTTCTTCATTTTTTTCGGGTCAGCTTTTTTGATAAACGAATTTGTCTCTTCCGATGTTTTATCTGCCTTTTGATGTTGACCAACTCCTGCAACAACATCATTAACCACTTTTGATATTTTTTGTTCTGGCGGTTTAGCAGGAGGTGCAGTCGGCGGTTTAGCTGGCTGGTGATGTTTTTCCGCCGCTTTTGACTTTTTATCCTTTTCAGCCTGTGTGATTCTTATGATGGCGGAATCCTTCTTTATTGTAGGACCTTTTGAGCCTTTAAAAATGAAAAAAAAATTAAAAAATCAGTCCTCTTTGTGATTACCCTTAGCCCTCAACTTCTTTGACATTCCCTCATCTTTATGCTTAAAATAAATTTTTGAAAATATTTTTTGAAAATAAAAACACTCACCGGCTTCTTTTTAGAGCAAAACATCATCATTAGAGAGCCAGAAACGAAGAAGAGTAGAATAAACAGAATGAAAGGATGAATATTGCCATCCATTTGAGATACTTGTGATATGTGAACGTTTGAAGAGAACAAATTTTGTGAAGATTTTAAATATTTTGGATTGATACTTTTATACTAGGCTAAAAACAGGGTTTAGGCGGGAGAAGAATAATGTAAAGATAAAAGTTAATAATTTTGTTAATTCGAGGGGATGAAGGTTCTATAGTAATTGTTTTTTATTTGAGGGAATGATTTTATTTCCTTCAAGTAGGGTAGTTTCTGGTCCCTCATTATTTTACAAAAAATGCCTCACGAGAGCAATTGGAGAGGTTAAAATTCAAAAAAACATTAAAAAAGATTAAGCCTTAATTCCAAACTTAAACTAAATAAAAATTCAAATACAAAAAAAACATTTAATGAAAAAATACAAAAAAACAAAAGAAAATGTTAATATTAGATGAAAAAAGTTAAAAAAATTTTTTAATTCAAATTTTGTTAATTTCAATAATCCAATTCCTCATTAATTTCAAATTCTTTCAATTCTTCTTTACTCCATTCATTTTTTCTTATATAATCGTAAAGTTGAGGCTTAAAAATTAAATAATTAATTTAAGAAAATATTTATTTTTAAAAATACCTCCCCAAACAATTTAGTTAAGAGTGTCCAACTTGCCATAAAACGCCCAGGATTGGCTACACAAATTTTTATTTGCTCTTTATAATGTTCTGGCACTTTAACTTCTTCCATCTTTTTTTGAATAATTTTTTTATAAAAATTATTATTTGGGGGCCCACTAGGCAAAAATTCTCCCCGAAAAAGTTTAGCGACATTTGGACATAAAGAAGGTTGTTGTTGTGTTGATTTATAATTTAATGAAGCTTCTTCATTTTCCCTTTTTTGAACATTTTTGGTTAATATTGGATTAGTTAAAGAAGTTGTTAGTTGGTTATTTGTTTGTTGTTGTATTTCTTTTTTGTAGTTTTGTGTTTGATATGTTGTGTTGCTCTTTAAATTTAAAAAAATAAATTTGAATTTTAAGGTTTTATTGATTAAGATTCTCAAATTTACTTTACAATTATTACAAGAAAATCACTTTCCCCCTCAACCGTTTGGTATCACCCCAGATATTTGATAGCATCTTAATCATGTGGTATTCCTTGGCAAGAATTAAAAACAACGTTAATTTTGGGTGTCGATATTTTGGGGGTGAAGTCAACCTTATCCGTCAAAAATTTAACAAAAATATTTAAATTTACTTCATAATAACTCTGACAATGAGCTACACCATCTTGACTAACATAACATTTATTTTGGAATCTTACATTTGTTGTATTACTAGTAAATTTTGAATGTGAAGAAGACATTATTAATATTTTGTTAAATTAGAAAAAAAATTTTTATAAAATGAATTTGTGAAGTGTTAATAAAGAAAAGGTAATTTCTCTCCATTTTAAATATTTCTTTTTGAAGGCGGAACAAAGAAAATTAAAAATTATTATTTTAGCCTATTGCCAAAAAAACTCCTCCCAAATATTCTTTTATTAATTTGCCTTTTTATAAAGAAAAATTTTTGAAAAAAGAAACGGCACTTTTCCCATGGCTGTATAAATTTTATTTAATATTTACAATGTTTCTATTTTACTGATCAATGTCCTAAATCTTTTCGAATTTGAATTTTATATTTGAGAAAAGTTGAAAATTGGTGTAATTAATCAACCACAAAGGCTGGCTGCACTTTTATGTGAAGGGAGAATGTTATGGATTTCATATTTTTGTAAGTAGTGTCAATAACTTGCTGATTCAGGATTTACAAACAACTCTAGACCCGATGCCCTCTCTACTCGGGGCGTGCCACCTGTGTAAGTGAATATACAGGGACTACACTAAAGCAGCCATCAATTACCGACAGGCACCGAATCTGAGTTTCCTGTCAATTCAAGCCGGATCTGTTAACAAAATACAAAAATATATTTACTAAAAATTCTTTTATGTATCAAATATGACTGATTTAAAAATCAATCAAAAATAAATAAACCTGTACAGAAAAATAATTTAAAGAGATAAGGAAAGAACAAATAAACAACAAAAAATAATTTCTTCTTTTAAATTTTAATTCATTTGTTGATTCCCATAATCCAATTCATCGCTTATCTTAAAATTTTTCAGCTCTTCTTTACTCCAATCGCTCTTTTTTATATAATCGTAGAGCTTAGCCTTAATTAAAATTAATATTTAAATTTATCCCCGTCAACGAGGAAAGGTTGCGAGGTTTAACGCATTATTTAAAGTTTATATTTGGAGAGGGAAAAATTATGCCAAATTTTGGGACTTTGGAGGGCCATATTTTGGCCAGATCAAAAAACTGGCAAAAACAACTCAAAATCCTTGCTAGAAAGGGCACATTCTCTATCGAATGAGCCCGGTCTCGACCGTTTTTAGGTCGGACACCTCGCAACCTTTCCTTGTGTACTCAAATTCGCTCAAAAATCTAAACATTCCCCACGAATTTTTAAATAAATTTAATAAAATACCTCGCTAAACAAAGAAGCCAAGAGAGTCCAACTCGCCATAAAACGTCCCGGATTGGCTACACAAATCTGAAAAAAATATTTTTGAAAAATTAGATTTAATTGAGGATAGGGCTGTACTTTAGTACGTGGGTCCCGGAGTTAATATACAAATGTTATACCATTCGAAAGAGCTAGTCGAGCTGAGTCGAATGCCACCAGTTTTAGCCCGAGGAAAAATTTTTGGAGCGAGATATAGGTCCCTGAAATTTGAAAAAGCATAGGGGGGACCAAGCACTTTTTTGGGGTGAAAAATTCGAAAATGCAAATGATCCCTCATTCGAAAGAGCTCTTCGAGCTGAGTCGAATGACACAAAAATCAACGAAATCCAACTTGATTGGGCAAAGTTATGATCTTTTCTTTTAGCTCCTTACCTATGGCATCTGTGGAGATTTTTGCTGCTACGGAGGCCCCAAATACGTCCAGAGCAATGGAGATAGGAATAGGTTTATGTTACGAGCCCAGACCCAGCGCCCGTAGACTCCCCGCGAGGCGCGTGCCGCAAAACCACGCGCGAAGCGCGTGGTTTTGCACAAGCGCCTCGCCGACGCTCCATAGGTTTAGGTTTTTTTGTTTTTTGTGTCGTAACTTTGTCTAATCTTGTTCAATCACGGTGATTTTGGTGTCATTTGACTCAGCTCGTCGAGCTCTTTCGAATGAGGTATCATTTGCAATTTCGAATTTTTCACCCCAAAAAAGTGCTTGGTCCCCCCTATGCTTTTTCAAATTTCAGGGACCTATATCTCGGTCCAAAAATTTTTCCTCGGGCTAAAACTGGTGGCATTCGACTCAGCTCTACTAGCTCTTTCGAATGGTATAACATTTGTATATTAACTCCGGGACCCACGTACTAAAGTGACCCCGAGGATAGCAACAAATAAAATGTGCCCGATCGGTCAAATGAATTGGGGAAGAGATTGAGTAAAACATGATGGGAAAAGGCAATTTAGCCAGCATTCTACTTCAAAATTAAATCCAAAAAATTACCATTTATTCATTGCTATCACCTCAATTAAAATTTTAAAACACAAAATTCTCAAAAAACAAATCCCTTACTTGTATTTGCTCTTTATAATGTTCCGGCTCTACATCGATTTTCTTGGGAACTGGCTAAAAAAATAATTAAATTTTAAATTAAAAAATAAACCGATGAAATAGTTGGTGGCCCTGTAGGCAATAATTCCCCGCGAAGAAGTTTAGCAACATTTGGACTCAATAAAGGTTGTTGTTGTTGTTGTTGCTCCATAACAATAAAGAATAAATAAATTAGGTAAATATGCTCTAAAATGTAATTAAGTAAATTTAAGCTGGATAATTAATTAGCCGGAACTTATGTGGTTTGGGTACTCTTTTTTTTAGCCACGCCCTTTTTTCCTCTTCCATCAGCAATCAACCTTAATAATTGCAGAATGGTCAGCATTTTTTCTTCCTCGACTTACTTAATTTTCCCAGTGGCATGTTCATTGAGAGGCATCAACAGAGAAAAGATGACTTTTTCTTTCTAATGTCACCAAAATAGAAATTAAATTTGAATCAATATTCTTATTTTTGACCATTTTCACCCCATTTTTAGACATTTTTGACCCCTTGTAACTCAGTTCAGAGATAACACAGACAGATTTCTGGTATCATTCACTCAGCTCGATGAGATATATTGAGCTTAGATCTATTTATTTACTAAATTTTTTGTACATCTTAAACAAAAAATTACCACAACTGAATTGACTGATAGGTGACAGGAAAGAGTAAAGGAATAATGATTGAAAAAGAGAAAAAGGGCGTGGCTAAAAAAAGAGTACCCAAACCACATAAGTTCCAATTAGCCGATATATCGGCTAATTAACAAAAATAAGCACAAAAAGAAAAAAGGAGGAGCGAGACATTAATTCTCTTCAGCGATAAAGAACGATACAGTACCGCCGATTCAGTCTCGAAGCAATATTTTTGACTTTACGCGCATTTATAGAGATGTAACTTTTTGTAGGATTTGATTAAGTCAACCTTCAGCTAAAATAATCCTTATATCATGAACTTTCGATTGAATAATTATTAAAATCGAATAAGAATCAAAAAAGTTATAGCCCAAAATATGGCCTCGAGACTGAATCGGCGATACTGAATAGTGAACGACATATCGACTTTTTCTTAAGGAAAAAAAGTCGTTTTAAAAAAATCTACAATTATTCGCGAACGACTTTTTTTTAAACACACAACGCCAGAACTACGTAAATATCGATGTTTTGCGCCAAACGATTGCGAAACGACTTTTTTGTGTCTCTTTTTCTCTGCTCTGTCATTATATTTCCTTTCTCTTTTTCTATTAATTTTCGTTCGTGTAGTCTCTCCTTTGGAATTTGCAATTTTCCATTTTTATAAATGTTCAGTCCCTTTTCTGTAATTTTTAGGGATTTTTCCACATATATTCTTACTAGATGGAGAGGAGAAGTAAGAGGAGATGATCCATCATCAGATGTGCTGCTTACCTTGATCCTGCCGTTTGTTTCCCCACCTCCCCTAAAACACATCTCAAATTAAAAATCAAGACAAACTTTTTTGTGAAATTAATTTATGTATCCGTGATTCAAAAACAAAGTAAATAATTATAAGGACGACAAAACAAAATAAATTTAAAGAAAAACAAAGTCAACGAGGAGATCAATCCATCAAAACCTTTTACATTAAAAACCATTCGGTAAATACGTGAAGCGTGTTGTTGTGGATCTTCAAGAGAGAAGCCAGAAGTCAACAAAGCTGTCTCATAGAGCAAAACAACCAAATCTTTGGCAGTTTTGTCATCTTGGTCGGAGTCGATCGATTTGAAACAGACACTTTCTGAACTTTTTTGTCCAAAATATCCTAACACTAAGAATAAAACAAATATTCCAAAATTCTTTAAACAAAATCTTAAATACCTTAATAACTTTGCAAAGTTTCTCAAATTTAACTTTATCTTCTTCAAACTTCTTCTTTTCCTCTTCACTTTCTGGCAACTCCAAACCTTCTTTAGTCACGCTAACCAACTTCTTTCCATCAAATTCTTTCAATTGTTGAATGCAATATTCATCAATTGGATCAACCATATAAATAACTTCAAAACCTCGCTTCTTAACACGTTCAACAAAAGCTGAGTTTTGAACAACTTCTTTAGACTCGCCAGTAATATAATAAATGCAAGTCTGATTCTCCTTCATTCGTCCAACATAATCCTTCAAGCTAACAAGTTCATCGCCAGAAGAGGAAGCGTTGTAACGGAGATATTCGGCAAGCTTTTTACGGTTGACAGAATCTTCGTGAATACCCAACTAAAGAACAAATAATTTTCAAAAAAACATTTAAAAAAACCTTAAGATTCTTGCTGAATTGTTCATAAAATTTCTTAAAGTTGTCCTTGTCTTCAGCAATTTCATCAAAAAGTTCGATACACTTCTTGACCAAACTCTTTCGGATCACTTTAAGAATTTTGGATTGTTGGAGCATTTCACGAGAAATGTTAAGAGGAAAGTCCAATGGAGAGAATTCCAATGGAGAGACAACGACATAGAAAATTAATAGAAAAAGAGAAAGGAAATATAATGACAGAGCAGAGAAAAAGAGACACAAAAAAGTCGATTCGCAATCGTTTGGCGCAAAACATCGATATTAACGTAGTTCTGGCGTTTTGTATTAAAAAATAGTCGTTCGCGAATAAAAGTAGTTATTCGCCGCGAATCGACGAAAACGTAGATATGTCGTTCACTAATACTGAATCGTCCTTTTAAGTAAAGGTCGATTCAGGTCTCGATTTCAGAAGGACGATTCAAAGTAGAGCAAAAATTCCGAATTCAAGATGCTCGTGTGATTTTAGCCGAATTACTTTTAGTGAATCTTTTGTATTTAGGAGCCATTACTTGTTACATTTTTCTAAACTTTTATATGCCTAAATCATTTTTAGTTAATAAAATTAATGTGTGAATTACGCGGATTTTCTATTCTACGTCCAAGTGTTGATTTGGAAACTATTGAGGAAGAGCCTGATGATTATGTCTCCCAGCATTCACGTAATGCCCGTTCTTTAAAGAATGGCCTTGAGGGTGGGCATTTTCGTGACAACATTCGGCAGAATGTTTATCAACAGGAAAATGGAGGACAAAATAGCCAGACAAACACGATTACTACGTAAGAATTTTTAGAAATAGGCTGGCGTAATAGATTTAAATTTTATTTTTTCAAGTTACGCAACTCAAAATTCGGATGGTTTCGACACAAACAGTCTAAATTATCTGAATTGGAATCGAGGTGGAGGACGTGCCGGCAGCACAAAATCCATAAAGAGTGGCATTAGAAATACTCGATATAGAGGGCTTGGATATGGAAATGGTACAATTGGGACACATACTATTACTGGTGGAACGTCAACGGCTGGAACGTTGAATGGAACGAGATATTTTGGCGATTCTTGGTTTTATAAAAATTATTTTAATTTTATCTCTCCATTTTATTTCATTTATTTTAGGAAGTCTTTGGACAAATGGGACCAAAATTATTATTTCAACACGTATGGACCACCGAGGGAAGATCCTATCTCTTTGTATCAATGGAGTAACAGTAAAAATTATGGTGATGCTATACGCCGACATGTTAGTCAATTGGAAAAGGATGAAAAACGGAAAAGACGGTAATGAATAAATATATTTAATTCTAATTGTTGCATTCCCTTCTCATAACAAAGGGATTGTTTCTCAATAAAATTTTTTCATTTATTCCCACATTGCATTATTTGGTACTTTTTCATTAACTGGTCGCATATTCTCCCTAGTCTCTGATTAATCTTTTCAAAAGTAATTGGAAAGTAAATGATTAACATAGAAATATTAATTTTAGAACTCAAATAATAAGGGGGTGGTATATTGAAAAAATACCAAATAATTAACTGGACAAATTTAATTTTAAAAAATTCTGTGTAGTTCTTGGGCACTGAACAAGTTAATTAAATATTTTTTTATTTTTCAGCCAGAAAATTTGTTGCCTTCTCTGTTGCTGTTTTCGTTGCTGTTTTTCTTGCAAAAAGTCGCCCCAACCACAAAATCCTCGCCCAACGCTCAAAGGCTGTCGTCAATTGAATTGGAATTAAGTTTTAAAATTAAATTATTATTCCCTGAAATGACAAATATTGATCCCATAATTTATTGAATAAGATATTCCAAAATGTTTATTTCTCATCCCTCAGGAAACTATTAAATATATCAGTGCTGTTTTTGAATTTTAGAAAATTGGGTGGTGGGGGCATTAATTAGAGTTAACACTAAATTTGTGACAATCCGGAAAAAAGAAATTTGTGGATTATATTTTAAATTTCGATTAATTTTTGCTTTCCATTTTTTGATAGCTCACAAATTATGTCCGCACCGAATATTTTGCTAGGGTTTAACACTCCCTTCATTTTTGATGAGTAATTTATGTCATCTAAAAATCAAATAATGGGCTGATATATTTATTCACAAATATGTTTTAAAATAATTTTAATTTAGTTTTTACTACATTTTAATTGATTAAAACATATTTTTCGGTTCTCTCTTTTATTCACTTTTTGAATTTATAAGTTGTGAATAAATTTCTAAATTTTGTTTTTTATTTTATTATCGATTGGTTGTATTCCATATTAACTTCTTTTAACAGTTTTTTACTTTTAAATTTTAAGGAGAATTGTTCAAATATTTTTAAAATAATTCTTTTGGGGTTTTTGAATATTTTTGGATTTTTTTGTTGAGTCTGGTAAATTTTATATTTTAGTTTTGCTAATTTATTGGGGTATAACTTTTTTGATTTTATGCCTTTCAGTGACCAAAAGTTTAAATTTCCATTTATTAGTTTTTGATCAAAATCATCCCTCATAAGTAAAAGGGCTGTGATTGATAAAGTAAAATGTCCTATTTTTTGTCTAATTGCCTTTAGAGACTTAAACGACAAGACTGTAACGTTACCTTTATCAAAAAAATCTTATTTTTATTTCCCGAATTTTTTATTAAATTTTCTTTGTATTTTTAATTTTTAGAATATTTAAAAATGTTATTTAATTTCTACAAACCTATTCAATTTTGTTTTCCGGCGTCTACACGTGGATTGATTTTATTGCTTTCCTTTGCTGTTGTGAGCTCTTTATTTGCCAATTTACAATTATTTAATTTGGCTGTGCTTTATACAAATCAGGATGAACAAAGGCTTTTTATTTCGAAGGAGCTTTTCAGTGATGGGATTCAAAATAAAGGTTTTATTTTAAATTATAGGTTTTTGAAAGTATTTCTTATAGGGATTTTAAATTAAAAAATTTTTTAAAGAGTTTTGAGTCTCCGTATTTCACATATTAAAATTAGAAAATTTAATTGGGTAGTTCTCTAAAATTTTGTGCACATTTTATTGATTTTTTGAGAAAAATACTATGACTAATTTTTGAAAATCTAACATTTATTAGTCATCATCCACCTAGCCCCACATTATTTGAAAAAATTTAGCAATTTTCTAACTAATTTCTATCTGATTTTTCTAATTTTTATTCTTTATTGATTTCTGTCTCGGTTTTTAATTATTTTTTAATTAATTAATTTCAAATTATTAATTTAAAATATATAGTAATTAAATCAATACTTAATATTATTAGGATAAGATTAAAATTTAAATTATTTTCTTTATTCAACTAATGTAAGAGTGAAAAACTTTTTTTCTATGAAATCACCCCTTTCTTAAAATTATTTTATTGATTTTTTCTTGTGCCATCTCTTTATTTTTTCATTTTTCTACTTTACTTTTTTTTATTTTTTTTTAAGATTACTGATTTTAAAATCTAATTTTAAATTAGGGTAGCTTTGGTAGCAAGGGCGTATCCAGGGGGGGGGGCTGGGGGGGGCTAGAGCCCCCCCCCCCCCGAAATGGGGGAAAGGGGGAAGAAATTAGGAGAAGGATGGTCGAAAAACTGAAATTTTTTCGCCTACAACCCTCAAATTTTAAAAAAATTTCGCCTGCGGCGCAAAAAATGGAAGAAATCTGGCTTCTTGAGCTCCAAAATCCTCAAAATTTTCGCCTGCGGCGCTAAAAAGTGAACTTTTTTGGCCTACGGCCCTCAAATTTTAAAAAATTTTCGCCTGCGGCGCTAAAAAAAAGAAGAAATCTGGCTTCTTGAGCTCCAAAATCCTCAAAATTTTCGCCTGCGGCGCTAAAAAGTGAACTTTTTTGGCCTACGGCCCTCAAATTTTAAAAAATTTTCGCCTGCGGCGCTAAAAAACGAAGAAATATGGCTTCTTGAGCTCCAAATTCCAAAAAATTTTCGCCTGCGGCGCTAAAAAACGAAGAAATCTGGCTTCTTGAGCTCCAAATTCCAAAAAATTTTCGCCTGCGGCGCAGAAAAGATGAAAATTTATGTACAAAAAAATTTGCGTCCGGAACGCCAAGGTAAACGCCAAAAATTTTTGCGCCCACCCAGTGTTAGCCCCCCCCCGAAACCGACCCCCTGGATACGCCCTTGTTTGGTAGTAAGCAAACCAATTTTAATTTATTGAGAAAATAGCTCTTAAAAAATTTTATCACTTCCCTATATAAATTTTTTAAAATTTTCTGTAATACTTTGGAAGCCAATACCATTCAGAAAAGCTCATAATGGTCAGGGAAATGGAAAAAAGGGGGCGACTTCTAAAGTATTACCAAATTTTTTTGTTTTCTAGTTATCCCTTTGTTTAGCTTACAATTAGTGTCTGATTTCTTTATTTGAAAAATTAAAGTCGATCACTTATGTCTCCTTCTAGTCTTTTTATACTACATCTATCTGAAATTTTATATTTTTTAATATTATATTAAATTAGTTTTCATTGTTTTTTATCATTCAAAAAAATCAAATAATAATATATTTAAGTTCTTTGTTAGCCCCCCCCTCTACCTTCCCTCAGTAAAATAGGGAGATTTCGTTATTTAGAGATCCACTTTTCCCAATACTAAATTAACAAAAAAATATAATTTTTATTCTTGAAATGTGTGTAAAAGATTTACACTTGTTAAAATAAGTATATATAGTAATTGACTTTCAATCGCTTTTTTGATATAATGCAATTGTTTTTTGTTTGTGTGGTGTAAATGAGTGGTAAAAAAATAGAAAAAAAATAAAAATGTGGTTAACACAGTTTAAGAATTATTTTTTTGAAAAATAAATTTTTTGGAATGAAATTTTGACATCTAAATTTTTTGTTATATTTTCTCTTAAAGTCTAAAATCCCGTTTCTGTTTAAATAATATTTTTTTAATTTTTTGAGCCAATTTTTAGATTATAAGGCAATAATAAACAATCAAATATTGATTAGGTAGATTAATTAGAAATAAACAAATATATTTGGATTTTTAGGTTAGAATTGTGTGTAAATTCGATGAATATTTAAAAATAATTTTTTTTTGAGAGAGATGTGCTTCAAATTAAAGTTTAGAGATTTTTTAAAAATTTTCAATTGTAAAATGCAAAAAAATATATGAAGCACATCTCCTAGTTAGTGATGTATTTAAAAAGTGAATAATTTTTAGGATAGTCAACTTCTTTTAAATTTGATAGAAAATTGTGTAGTTCTGCCCCCAGAACCCTTTTAATTTTTTATCAGTTGGGATTTCTTAATGGCCGTAGCCATTTTTGAGGGTTTTTAAAAGAAATTGACTTTAGCTTGTTTAGTTTGATTAAATTTGATTAGAAAATTGATTAAAAAAGATTTGTAAGTGAAATTTATTATTTTTTTTTAATAAGCAATCATAAGTGACCCAACAAATAAGCATGTAGTCAACAATGAAAGCATTGAGTATGTATTGAAAAGTGCAGTTACTCCATTCTGAAAAATAGGAAATTTATTTTTTTGAATATTTTTCTTTAATATTTTGATTTTTTTTGGTAATTTTTAACCAAGAAATTTTTTTGTAAAATAATGGGCATTATGTAAACTTCCAAAATTCCCTTTTGTCGATGTTTTACATATTCCATTTTTGTTGGACAATTTATATTTTTTTGAGGTAATGTGTTTCAACCCCCAACAGTTTCCGAAGAATCCGAAAGGAACCAAATAAATATATTTTTTCCGAAAAAATTAAAAAATTTTTGGGTTTTTTTTTTAATTTTAGTAAAAATATATTCACATTCGGATTCTCCGCTGTTTTGTTTGTGCTAGTATTATTTTGTTCTTCTAATATTTGTTGTTCTGTTGAATTGTCCAACAAAAATGGAGATATTGTGCTTTCTTCATTTATTGTTAAATTATTATTATTATCTCCCCCATTTTCAAATATTTGTGGATTTTCTTGATTATTATTTTCTTTAAATTCTTTATTATTTTCTTCGTCTTTTTGGGATATTTCTGTTATAGTTTCTTCATTTGGAAATGAAATTTCCATTGTATTATTATTTTTTTCATCATTACTAACATTGCATTCATCTGTTGAGCAACAGTCAATTGAATAGGTTAATGGGCCTGCTGTTCTGTTTTCGTCGTCAGAAGAAACCTAAATATTTTTGTTTGAAAACAGAATCCAGACCAAGGCAATTTCGAGCTTTTAACTACTCCTAAACCCGGGATTTTATGTTTCGAATCTAAATTACAGGGCAAACGCCAGGGATTTCAAAAATCTTATCCAAATTAAAATGTTTGTTTATTCCTGTTTCTAATTACAATCTACTCTCTTCTTTCTTTAAAATCTTTAATATTCTTACCCCACAAGTATAATTTATTTCTTGTTGAATTTGTTGTTCAATAGGTTGCATATATCGTGCCAAATCACTTTCACAACTTTTTAATCCAAAAGTCATATTTTTTTGTTCGCCAGTTTGAGGGTCTAATTTTGTTAGAAAACCCTGTAGATTTATACAATTTTTGTCCTAAAAAATTTAAAAGATTTTTTTCTGTTTTTCTTCTTATTTTTTCACCTCTGCTGGACATTCATATTCTCTTGTTTCTGCTGTTTTATTTATTGATAATTGTTCTTCTGGACTTTCTGCTTCTGTAATATCTATAGATGAAAATGTGCATTTAAGTGCTTTATTTGTTCCTATTAATAGAACAAAAAAGGCTGCGAATAATTGAAAGTTCATAATTAAATTTTTTTATTTTCTGAAAATATTGTTGGGAATTTATTAGAATTTTTTAAAAATGAGTGAATTTGTTGTGGGGGAATCGGAGATGAAGGGGAATTAATGAGTGAGATTTTTTGTGAGGAGTAAAGGGGGGTTTTAAAGCTAAACAAACAATTTTTAATTATTTTAAAATCAATTTTTTTATTTTTTTATATCACAGTTCACAGTTTTTATATCACAGTTTATATCACATCTTCACTTTGGTAATTTTTCTCTTAATAAAATATTTTCACTGCTTAAGTAAGTCATGTAAAAATACGTAATATTTACTTGAAGTTTATTTACATTTTTCGAAATAAGTTATTATATGTATATAATCATTCGCGCAGTCTAGTAACATTTAATCGCCTTTTTAAAAAATTTTATTTAAAAATTTAAAAAAAACTAAAAGATTATCTTTAAAGTTCTCCCCCTCTTGTAATAATTAAAAATAAAAAGTTTCATAAAATGGATATATATTAAATTTAAAATAAATTTGAGATTGGAGAAGAGAAGGAATTTTTAAAATGATTTTCTGTTTACTAAGGAATTAACAAAATCTCATAAATTTCAAAATTATTTGACATTGGAATATTTTTGAAAGAGAGGGATTACTAAAATTTTTTAAAATAAAATTCTCAAAATTCTAAAAAAATTCGAACAAAAGTCATAACCGGGCTCTTCCTAATTTTATAATAAATTCCCCAAAAACATACAAGGGATTTTTAAATTAATTCTTAAATTTATTTAAAAATTATTTAAATGAAAATAATTTTAGTTAAATTCTAAATTTATATATAATTAGATTTTTAATTTTTGTTCTTATTTCCTAATTTTATGATAGAAAAAATTTTTTTAATTTCTAATTTTGGGCCAAACAATTAAAATAAAGAAAGAAAACGGTAGCCAATTTTATGTTCATTTATATTTAAAAAGTGATTTGTCACCAACTTAAATTTTCTTTTTTTAAACAAAAATGATTTTTGATTTGAAAAAAAAAGAAGGGGAGGGAGGAGGACTTGGAAATTGGTAAAAAAAGAATTTAGTGGAGAAACTGATTGATTTAAATTGAAATAATACTGAATTTTTATATATTTGGATTTGTTAGAGTTTGTCAAATTAGAGAGAAACAAAAAAATTTTGTAGTAAATTTTTGGGAGAAAAGTGAAAATTGGGGCGGGAGAAAAATAAAAATATTAAAAAAGAATTGGGCGAAGAAAATATTTAGAAAAAAATTTTTAAAATAAAGAATTGGCCCTCCCGTGATTAGTAAATAAACTTGATTTTACGAGAATTAAAAAATAATATTTTTAGTTAGAAAAAAAACTATTTTTAGGTTGTAGTGTAGAAGTAGTAAGTAGTTTATGATGTAATACGCGCATTTTGAAGCGAGAAAAAACATTTTAAGTTTGGTGTTGTCGGCGCTTATTTCTTTGGGCGTGTGTTGAAAAAAGTGAAGAGATTGGTTTAATTTAAATGGCTTGAATTTTTTTATAAATATTTTTGGCTATCTCTTTTAAATTTTCTATAATTTATGATTTACAGAAATAATGAGAAATCAACATTTTTGTTTAAAATTTTTGGAGTGATACACATTCAGAAAGTCCGTTACAGAATTTCGCAATTTTAGATAATTGTTAAACAATTTTTATAAAGTAGCGCCCTAACGGTTCCATGCTCTAACATAATTTTTCCTTATTTTACTAATAGAAAAGAAGAATACCACAAAATTATTTTTTATGGAAAAAAGAGGAATGCGAAAAAAGTTTTTTATTAGGTCTTATGTCTTTACTGCGCGACAATTTTTTTTGTATTCGCTATTGTGAAATGATGAATCACTCCGATAAATTTTTTGAGGAAAAAAATTGGGGAAATTAATAAAAAAAACCTTAAAAAAGGAATTTATTTATTAATTGATGTAATTAAATTAAGAAAAGTTTTAAATGTGTGTAATGAAATAATAATAAGAGTTTTTAAATTTATAGGTGGAAATTAAAATATTTGAATTGAAAAAACTTTTTTATGATTAATAAAAAATCGGAAGAATATTAATAATTAGATGACCGATATTTACTGTTTTATTAAAAAATATCGGAATAATCGACTGGTATAAGAATTGAGTTGGACTTTAAAATTAAAACAAAACTAGAAAATAAACAATTAATTTTTAGTGTTTTTAACTTTTCTGAGAGTAAAATAAACTATTTTTTATACTTTATTTAATTTAGGAATTGTTATTAAAAAATTGTTTTTTATAAAAGATAACGTAAATAAATGTGTAAAAAATAAAAATTTAAAGTTTAAATTTAAAAATAAATACAAAAACAAAAAAATATTTTTTAAATTTAATTTAGGAATTGGAAATGTTAATTGGCAAACACCAACCTTCCCTACGCCTAAAAATGAAGAAGAAGGAAAAAATATTTTTGTCAAACAAAAACAACAACACTTTACAAATAAAAGGACAACAACAAAACAAACAAACACTTTAGTAAATAATATAACAATAAAAGAACATTTGGGGACAACAACAACAAATGAGGGATTATTGAATGATTTTTGGAGTGAACTTGAACATGAAGAAGAAATTGAGGAGGAAGAGGATGAAACAAAACAATTAAATCAAAATAAAATTAATAATGAAGAGAATATATTGGATGTTTTAGGAGGAGTTACAGGTAAATAAATGTGTTTGTTTTGTTCTGAACAAAATTTAAATTGTTGTTTTAACAGAAACAAGTAATAAACGAGTACAAAAACATGTTCGCAAACATGTTTGTATTAGCAATAATTTTGTTTAAAATTTAAAATTAAATTTATTTTTTTATTTTAAGCATTTTTTGAAATGTTTTTCAAAATTCTAATTTAATTTAAGTTTGCATATTTATTTTTTTTGTTTTTGACAATGTTGTTCTTTTTCTTTAATTTTTTGAACATGTTTGATAAGTAATAAATTTATTAAAAATTTTGTTTTTTTTTTTCAAAAAAAAATTCTTTTAGATAGTTCTAGACATAAAAGAGAAATTTCAAAATATAAAGATAACGATGAAGAATTCTTTGAAGAAACATTTCAGCCTACTATAGAATTTAATTGGGCTCAAGAAAAAATTCGAAGACTTGCTCAAAGTTTGCTTTTTAGTTCTCCGGGTATTGCAATAACGGTTTGTGTGCCTATAAAGTTTTTTTTAAATTTTAATTTTTTAAAGATTTCACATTTTCCTTCATATGTTATTCTTCGTCGTTTTGGCTCTTATTTGCCTATTTTTATCGCTCTTTTGATTTCTTCAATAATTACTGGAGGATTTCCTTTTATTCTTGGATTGGGTATTTTAAATTAATTAAATATTTTTTAAAAATATTTTTAAAGATGCCCCTTTTCCACTTATTATGGTCTCAAGAATTCTTTTGGGTATTTGTTTCTCCCCCGTTTTTACATTTTTTGGTCAAATGTCAGCACAATGGGCAAGTGTTGGGGAACAGCATTTTTTTGTTTTAACTGGATTTTTGGCACTTTTGGTAATTTTATAATTAAAAATAGAAAAATATTTTTTTAGTTTGGCCCAATAATAAGTTGGATATTTACTGTTTGTTTTCTTTGGTTTGATGCAAAAAGTAGAATTTTTGTTTTTGGTTTTCATGGAGGTGAGGAAATAATTTTATATTTAAATTAGAGTAGGTGATAAGGCAAAATTAAAAAAATATTGAAGATTTGGGTATCTTTCTAGGTCTTTGTTTCTAATTAAATTCATTTTTTACTCGTAAATTAATTTTGATGCAGGGATTTTATTAATTTTTAATTTTCAACTAAAAATATAGACTTTATTTTTTTATTTAGCTTTAAGTCTTTCTCTTGCATTTATTTGGCTTATTCTTTACAGGTAATTCAAAATTAAATATTTTATTTTAAATTTTATTTAAAGAGATCAACCTCAAACACACAAATTAGTTAATGGAGAAGAATTACATTATATTGTTAAAAGGAAGCCTCGAGTTTGTTTTTCCTGCTAAAAAATAATTTTTTTTTATTTTTCAGCAAAAACACACTCTTTTAGAATTAAATTTACCCAATTCTCTTGCTTGTCTTTTACTTCGTTCAACTTCTGCTTGGGCTGTTTGGATATCCTCATTTTGTTTTTTCTTTGCTTCATTAACTCTTTTAATATTTTATCCAATATTTTTACACAAAATTATGAGACAATCACTTGATTGGTGGTATTTGACTGTTCCTTTTATTTTATTGGTTTGTGAAGGATTAAATTAAAATAATTTTTTAAAATTTTTAGTTTTTAACTTTTCTTCTCTGTCATTTTATTTTTTCATTTATTTTACATAAAATGAAATTAAATAATCTTCGTCACAATACTTTAATTGTTAGAATATTCAATAATTTTGGATTTGCAATTTCTGCTATTATTTTCTTATTTATTGCAATGTTGCCTGGAAATGAAGAACAACCTTTTACAAATAATTGGTTAATTAGAATAATATTTTTTGGATACTTTAAATGTTTTTTTTCTGAATCTCTTAAAAATACTTTATGTATTTTTAATATTATATTTAACTTTTATTTAAAAAAGGAGACTTATTCTACTTTCAATTTCATTATTTCCGCTCGGTTTTACTTCACTTGGATTTATCAAATCAGCCGTTATTAGTGGTGGAACTCATTTTACTCAATATATTATCTCTCATATGCAATTAGCTTTCGGATTAGCCTATACTTTAATTCCAACTCTTCTTTTCTCGAATATTTCGGCAACAAGGTAATTTAAAATTTTTTATGTTCCTTTCAGATAGAGGGTAGAGTGAAGGGAACATTTATTTTTCTGAAAACTTTTAAATAATTTTTTAAAATATATTATTTTTTGCCATTTAAGTGCATTAGTTCATTGGCGTTTATTATTTCTGATTTGTGCGTTATTATTGCTTTTGGGAGTGGCGATTTTTACTATTTTGGGGCGTGGTAATTTTCTTGTTTTTTAAATTATTTTAGTTTAATTAATTTATCTTTTAAAGGCACACCAACAAGTTGGGCCGAGCAATGGTCTCAAGAAGCTGTTGGTGACATTCCTTTACTTTTTGTCAAATTTTCTCCTCAACACCAACCGCTAAGGTCTTCTGCAACTTCCCCAGCCGCAGCCCAACTTGCTTCAGTTGCCTCGGAAGCAGCGGCGGCTGGAGCGGCATTGTCGTCTATGCATCGTTTTTATGATGGAGAAAGGCTTTGATTTAATTATTTATTTTTGATTTCAATGGTTTGAAAAATTTTATTCTATCAAAGAATTATTGGGGTGTTAGAATGCGTTGTGGTTAGGTTACGACTTTATGGGATTGAAAAAAATAAAAATAAGTTTTTATGGGATTTTACTTGGATTTTATTTTTGGAATTATATATTCCACTTGAAAATTGAAAAATTTTTTAAAGAATATTTCAGAGAATTTATTAATTAAATACTTTAAGTCGTATCCTAACAACTCTAATTTATTAAAATATTTTTTTGGATTTTTTTCTTTTTTTTTGTCACAATCATTTAAATTTTAATCGTATTTATTTTTAGTTTTGTCTAAAATACTTTTAAAAAATCTCAATAAAATTTTATTAAAATAAATTATTTACTTTTAATTATTTGAAATAAAGAATAATCAAATAAAATTGATTTTTTACTTTTATCTATTAAATTATTATTATTTTTTGTTTAAATTGTTTAGAGTTTTAATTAACTTTATTTTTTATCAAAAAATTCAGAGTTCATATAAAATATTTGCGGTTGAATTATTCTAAAAAAAGTCATTTTGTAATCGAATCCACAAAAAGCTGTTCACATTTTTATTTAATTCTTTCTTTAATCTAATCAATTTATTTTTTTATTTATGTATAAAAAATAAAATAATTTTTGCCTTAACTAAATTTAAATTTTATAAAAAATTAAATTAATTATTTTAAAATTCATAAATTATAATATACATAAAGCATTATTAATTTTTAACAATAAAATTAAAAAAAAAGATGCATTTTACAAAACATAAAATGTGTACTTTTTAATGTTTGAAGATTGTTAAATTATTTTTATTTTTTTAATAAATTTATTTTTTATTTAATTATTTTTTAAAAATATTTTTAATAATTTAAATATTTTTGTTTTTATTTAAAAAAATTTTTTTTTAATTTTTATTTGGTGCCCAATGGAAAAAGTAAAGGAAGGTGGACGTCAATTAGTTGCTGGAGGAACTGCTGGTTAATTTGAAAAAAAAATTTAATTTTAAATATATTCTAAAATTTAAGGGATGATTGAAGTTTGTTTAATGCATCCTTTGGATTTGGTTAAAACAAGGCTTCAAATTGGCGGGGGACATTATAAGGGACTTTTGGATTGTTTTGGGCAAATATTTAGAAAAGAAGGATTTTTGGGTAGGTTTTTACTTAAATGTTGTTAGGAGAGATAAAATAAAATTTTTAATAACAAAAATGTTAACCGAAACTGTCCTTGGAAAATTAATTTATCGGAATTTATTATTACAATGGGATCTCGTTTATATGTATTTATTCTCACTTTACAAATTAGTGGTTTTAAATTTAGTTTGCCACAGGGGAGAGGGGGGACCGTTTAAGGGATACCACCACCCCCTTAGAGTAATTTCAGCCCTAAGGACATATACCTAAATTAGGTCCGACTATCTAAAAAATACTCCTCTATTAATTGTTTTTTCTATTAAAAAAAGGTTTCTACAAAGGAATACTTCCCCCAATACTTGCCGAAACCCCAAAACGAGCAATTAAATTTGCAACGTTTGATCAATACAAAAGTTTATTGGAGCCTTTACAAGAATTTCAAGTTCCTTTATATGCTGTGAATTTATTTTTAAATTAAAAATAATAAAAAATAAAAATTTTTAAAGAGACTTTCACTTGCTGGATTAATGAGTGGAATTACTGAAGCTGTTTGGAATTTTATTTAAAAAAATTTTTTTTAATTTAGTTTGTTATTTGCCCATTTGAAGCAGTCAAAGTTCGCCTTCAATCAGAAATGAATGTTTCCCTTACTCAAGTGATTTTTAAATTAAATAATTGGGGAATGAAAATATACAATCCGGAAAATGCTTTCCGGAAATATTAACAAGTGAAATAAAATAGTGTAGGAAAAGAAGAGACAGAGAAAACACTCTCCTCTTTCTCAATAGTATTTTCTAGTCTTTCGGCTTTAATTTTTAAGTAGCGAATAAATTTAAATTTTTATTCATGTATTACACAATAAAATTTATTTTTTTTATAAAGCAAAAAAGTGCAGTAACAATGGCTAAAGAAATAATTAAAACAAATGGTTTGGGCACAAATGGATTATATTTAGGGTTGGGGGCTACTTTGTGGAGACACGGTGTTTTTTAATTTAAAAATTTTTGAAAATTAAAAAATATTTTGAAGGTGTTTGGAATCTTTTTTATTTTGGTTTATATCATAATTTGAAAATTTTGATTATTTCAAGTAGGTTATATTTGATTTTTGGAAAAATTATATAAAGTATAAGGGTATTATTAAGTAAAATGGCGGGTTCAGGAAAAGTCAAACTTTGGGTATTTGGAGGACTTTTTCCGATTCGGATACGCTAACATTACTTCCCAACAGTCATTCTTTATTGGCTTTAGTTTTTTTAAGTTTAATGGCCCCATCTTTTATAGTTCTATGTCGAAACGAAATCACCTAAAATGATAACGTTATTCGAAGGTTACAGAATTGTTGAAAGGGGGAAAGGAGAGTTTATTTTTCTAAATTTAATTTAATTTTAGCCCCAACTCAACAATCCTTCTCACAAACAAATTCATCGGGTAGTGTACTCCTAAAACTTGGACTTGGATTTATTTCTGGTTCAATAGCTTCTATTGCAAATATTCCTTTTGATGTTGCCAAAAGTAGAATACAAGGCAATTAAAATATTTTTTTGAAATTTTTTCTAAATTTTAACATTTTTTCAAAGGTCCCCAACCAAAAGGAAAATCTAGAACATATATTACAACTTGGCAAACAATTTCATTAATTAAACGAGAAGAGGGTATAGCTGCACTTTATAGGGGATTATTACCTAAAGGTAATTAATAAAGTGTTTATTTCTAAAAAAATTAAGTAATGCGACTTGGTCCTGGAGGAGGAATTATGTTGGTTGTTTATGAGACAGTTTATGAATTTTTATCTAGACACGCATAGAAAAAAACTGATTGTAAGGAAATAATTTTAGGATTAATGCGAGGATTATTTGAAAACTAGACTTTTTATCAAAATTCGACACTTGCCCCTTCCCTTCTCTAAATTTCTGTATTTTAGATTTTTTTTAAACTTGCCTTATTTTATTTTTAAAATTATTATTTTTATTAAAATCCCCCAAATCCCCTTCTTTTAATTTTTGCATTTTCTATCAAAAAATATACAATAGATTGACCTATTTTTGTTTTATTGAATTTCTTCTTTTTATTTTACCACAACTTTTCTCGTTCTTTTTTTCAAAATTTTATGCAAAAAAATTTTATTTTTTAATTTTAAAAATGTTAACATTTTTATTTGATAAAAATAATTTTCATTTAATTTTGTCTATTATTTTACATATTCTTGGGATTTTTACAGGAATATTTATTTGGAATATTTTCCCTAAAAAGGTTGAAATTAAGTAATTTTTTTAAAATAATTTAATTAAGAATTTAAATCAAAAAAGAATTATTGGCCCTTTATTGGAAAAAAGGAGAGGTTTTTCAACTAAAATTAATATTGAAGAGAAATTATTAAAAATAGGGGAAGATGATGAAGAAGAAGGAAAATATTTAATTGATAGAATAAGGGGATAAATAATTTGTAATTTAATTATTTTTAAATTTATTTTTTTCGATATGTAAAATAAAATATTATTTAATACATTTGTATGGTACGTTTTACACTGCGAGTTATCATTAGTGACCGGTAAAATGGAATTTTCCGGACCCGGATTTGCAACTAGAGCCGGACCGGATCCGGTCGGAGTTCTCCGGATTAACCGGTCCGGTTTTAGTCCTGAGATTGCGGAAAAACCCAGATTTGGGATCTGGACTCCGGAAAAATTCGGCCGGATCACTAGTTATCACAGATTGTAGTTTCTTACTGTATTGGATTTGGTTTGGCGGGTATGTTGAATTCGGCCAGTAAGCGTCAGTCAAATTTGATCGACTTATATTTTTAGTAGTGATCTAATTTTGATAATATTTCTATTATATCATTCAAAAGCCCTTAGTAAGCAGAATTTTTCCAGATGGTCAAAGTTAAGCATTCCTTAAAAAATTTAAAATCAAAACACCAAACTGACCGCAACTCAGTTTTGGCGCGTAAATGGAAATTCAAAAGTGGCTTCTATTTTGATGGCTTGCCGAGGAAATTTCTATTTTTCCTTTCATTGCTTGATAGTTTTATGTTTAATTTACCTAATTTTTCCTTTTATTTTAAGCAACAATTTTTTTGAAAAATTAATAAAAAATGTCAAATGAAAAAAATGAATCTTTTCGTTATGTCAGAAAGTAAATATTTTTTAGTAGTTTAAAAATATTTAATTAAAATTTTAAGAATGGCAAAAACAATCGAGAATGATGAAAAACGTTTTGTATTTCTGCGAAGGTTTTTTTTTTTAATTTTTTAAATTAAATTCCTTCAAATTTTTCAGTCAAGTAAATTCAGTAGAAGATTGCATGAAGGAGGGTCCAAAGAAGTGTCAAACAATTAAATCTTTGGTTATCTGGGCTTTAAAAGAATTTATTCCAATTGAAAATTATAAAAGTGATCCCCGAATGCTTGATTTTTGGTGGCTAATGGTAAATTAAATTTTTTTAAATTTTTGAAAACAAATTTTGCTGACAAAAATAATGGGTAATATGGAACCGGACAGACCCCGTTTTCCTCCTCAATTTTCCCTCTATATTTTTCCTTCTTTTATTTTTGGCATGTACTTGCATTTGTATAAAATTAAATAATCTTTTTTGTTTGATTGGAGGCAAAAATTAGAAAAGCAATTTGGATGGAAGACAAGAAAAAGTCTGACCATTTTGCAAAAATACAGGGGAAAAATTGGGTAGGAAAGAAGGGTAAAAAACTTGGGTGTGTAAATCTGGTAAATAAATCCGCAAAATTTGTCTGCAAAAATTATTTGAGAATTTATTGATTTACCCTTATTATACCCTTAAAATTAATTTAAGGGTAAATACAGCGTTAATATGGGAATGGAAGCTGTTCTCGAAAGAATTAATCGTCTTGGGTATTTCAAAAATGTTCCGGAATTTTATTTGATGTGGGCTGATTATTTTGGGTCAAAACAGAATCGAGAAAGTTTTGACAAAATTTTTCAAATTTGTGAAGAAAATTGTCAACTTGGTCCTTCTGAGGAACGTTTTAAGTATTTTTTTAAATTAAATTTATTTTTCTAAAATTTTTCTTTCAAAGATTTTTACTCCAAAAACACTTTGAAAATGATTATTTTAATGAAGGGAAAACGTTGGATGTTATAAAAATGTTGGCAGACAAATCAGAGGTTGTGAAGTCTGATTTAACTTTGTTTCAACGAAATAAAGTTGTTGATACTCCACAAAATATTTCTGACACAACAATAATTGTAACAAAAAATCAATCAAAAATAACAAAAAATACTGACAAATTTGAGGAAGAAAAACAAAAATTAAAAGAATTGTCACCAAAAACTGCTTCAACTTCGGCAGCAATTCACGAAGAATTTTCTGTTTATAAGGATGTTACTTATACAAAATCTTCTATAACCGTTCAAAATACTGTTAAAAATAAAAGGATTTTGGTTAGTTAATTTTAGAATTTTTTGGACAGTTAGGGGTGAGAAAAGTCAGGAGAACAACATTGTATCCCTTGGCCATTGGAGGGGGGACGGCTTTTAAAATATTTATTTTTAGTATTATCCTGAACTTGATGACATAACACTTGCTGGTGCTCATGGAAAGTTCTCAACGGATATGTTTACTTCGACTCCTCGCCGTTCAGTAATGCCCAGCGATTTTATTCCTTTAGATTTAACTGAAGGAGATCAATTCTTTGATCCGACTGAAAAAGAAGAAAAGGGTGAAGGAGGGGGACTTTTTGAATGTCAGTTAACTGATAAGGCTGGAATAAAGGAAAATGAAAAAGATTTTGGAGGTTTGAAAATGAAGAAACGTTTAAGTTTTGTAAGTTTTTAAAAAATATAAAGGAAATTAATTAATTTTTTTAGGCTGATGAAAATCAACGAGGAGTTTCTAAGAATATGAATCCGATGGCGGAAGCTGTTGAAAATAGAGGGACTTCGGTTAGTAAAGCAAGGGCGGGGACAACGCAAATCCATAACTTGCTTCAAGATTTCCGAATCTTGTCAAATTTAGTGTTAAACTATTCCTCTCATCGAGCTAAAGAGATTGGTACCAAAATTGTTAAGGGCAAGTAAATTTTCAGCTAGTTATGATTTTGCGTTGTTATGGCCGCGCGTTGTTTTGGGCTGTACCCGCAAGGGCGTATCCAGGGGTCGGATTGCTAGAATATAATCCACATTTTCGATCAATCATCTCCCAATATTTTCCCCATTTATAGGAAGGGTTGGAATAGAAAACGGGTCGAAGAGGATTGTATATTAAATATTTTTAGTATTATCCTGAACTTGATGACATAACACTTGCTGGTGCTCATGGAAAGTTCTCAACGGATATGTTTACTTCGACTCCTCGTCGTTCAGTAATGCCCAGCGATTTTATTCCTTTAGATTTAACTGGAGGAGATCAATTTTTTGATCCGACTGAGAAAGAAGAAAAGGGTGAAGGAGGGGGACTTTTTGGATGTCAATTGACTGAAAAAATAAATGGAAATGAGAAAGGTGGCGGTCTGAACATAAAGAAACGTTTAAGTTTTGTGAGTTTTTAAATAAATATAAATTGTTGAAAATAATTGAAATAATTTTTTAGGCTGATGAAAATCAACGAGGAGTCTCTAAAAATGCAAATCCTATGGCGGAAGCTGTTGAGCGGGTAAAGAAATTGGGGGGGAATAGGCGAGATTGAATTTTAAAAAATGGAAATTTGTTGAAGAGATTAAATAACGGAAAGGGGGAAATTGTATATTTATATCTCGCCTAGTCCTTAAAAATTATTTAGATAATTTTATAATAATTACTTATAAAAATTCAGATCAAGAAATCAAAAACTAATCCAAACGAGTTAATCAAAACTTTACCTCAATTAAAAATCAGTTCACCAATAAGTGAAGGGTCTGAAAATTTTATGTCCTTTAACACTCCAGAATTTCCATCTCCATTTAGAAAGAAGAAGAAAGACCAAGAATAATTAAAAAAATTATTAATATTTGTAAATTCTGATTGAATTGTATTAACCGAAAACTTACATTTTTCCTGATTCTCGAATATTTTTTTGAAAATTTAATGTTACAGTTTGATCTCTATTTTTACGTAAATCGATAAACCCCTGAATTTAAGAAGATATATTTTTCAATATGGTCATTTAGTGGTGGGGGAATATCGTCCAATATACTGGATTTTAGGGTTTACTAAGTAAATGTGAGGTCCGACTGTAATTAATTTATGATTGATGTTACCCTGATTTTAAATTAATGGAATAAAATCCTTGAATAAAGTTGATTTTTTATATATCAAGAGGGATTGGGGGGTTTAAATAGAAATGCTTAAAATAACTAATATAATTAATTTTTGATTAATTGAACAAATTTTTTAAAATAAATTTGGATATTAAATAACTACCTGAATTAAAAACCCGAGACATTTCTCCCAAAATAATTATTTCGTAATATCTAATCAAAAATATTTTCTTCAATTAAAAAATGTGGCTGTTTATATTATGCAATAAATTTATTTTTCTTTTAATAAATTCTTTTGTATTTTATTCGAATTGCGCATTTTTTTTTATTATTATTTGAGTAACAGTTTTGTTTCTCAAGAGTTTATTGTTTGACGAGTTTGAAAAATATTTAGTTTTTTTTTTGTATTTTTTAGAATAATTAATTAGTATATTTAATTATTATTTAAATATTTTTGATTTATTTAAATAAGAATCACATGTAGAGAGCTTTAAATTTTCTGAGATCCACTTAGTTAACACATTTATTCACCTACTGAGATGCCGAGATGATAATTTTTTTCCCCTTTTTTTAAACATTCATCTAAATATTTTACACAATAATAGCTAAATAAATAAATTTCCCTCGCAAAATTATCTATGAAAAATTATTATTGTTTTTTATGTGGAAATGTATTGTTAAAAGTGTTGCCTCTTTTATTGGATATTAAATTAAAAAAGGGAAATTGGAATTGTTAAGTAAAAATCTTTAAAATTATTTATTATAAATTCTATTTTAAAATTTAAATATTTAATTACTAAAAACGAGTATATAATAATTAATTCTATTTATTTCCACCCATCCTCCACCCTCACTTTTTATTTATTAAACAATAAATAATGCTTCCCTTTTTAATCGACAAATTTGTGGCAGTCACTGTCTATTACGGGGAGAATGAGAGCTCAAATTTTCTTTTAATTTTTTTTCTTTTTTCTTTTTTTATAATCAAACAATTTGTTATACATTTATGATAAAGTAATTATTCCCCTCTATCAATAAATTAATTAATTTTTGGGTTGGGAGGCTTATTTCCGCTTCTTTTTCTATTAAAATATTCTTTTTTAATTAGTTAATGTGTAATAAATACCTTTTTTTGAATCTTTTTTTACAGTCTCAGTCAAAATTAATTATAGTGAAATTGTTTAAGAGAGAATTCATTTTCGGGATTTTGGATCTTGTTAAAAATTTACCTTATTTTCACTTATAGACTTACTTTATTGATATCAATAGAAATATTCACAGAAATTTTTGTAAAAATTTTCAACCAATTTCTAATATGAATTTGCTTAATACTCATTTTAAGAAGAAAAACTCGATAAAAACCAATCGAGTTAACAATCTTTTCAAAATTTGATGGGTATAATGTCCAATAGTATTTATTAATCATCTATAAGAATTTCAGATTAATTGGACAACTGGATCAGAAAAAATTAGGGGGCGTTATAACACAAATATAGTATCTTAACACAATGTATGTTGTGATTGAAGTTTGTTGCAGTTCATTTTCCTTTAATTATATATTTGAAATTGCTTTTAAAATACTTTAAAACCCCTCTTACTTTCTCTCTCCTTGTTTATAAATTTAAAATTTTTAATTTAAATTTAAAAAGTAATCAAAGATTAACAAAAACTTTTCTTTAAATTATTTTGCTTTTTATTTTTCGGACATTGTGGTTTATAATCAAAAAATAAATATTTAAAAGAAGGTAAAGGAGGAGTGAATGATGTGATGATTTTTGGTGGTTTTGGGAGGAATGAAGAGCGAAGAGAAAAAAAAGAATGTGTCAATAAAATCAGTAGTTATTTAAATGAATATTATCAATAAATAAGTGGGGAAAAAATAAATAAATATTTATTTATTTATTTTTAAGTATAATTGTTTTTATTTTTAATTACCGCAAAACTTTTATTAACTATCCTGGGTAATTATTGTTTCGACCTTCCGTTGAAGGGAGTAATTAATCAAGGGAGGGCAGTTATAGGAGGTTTGAATTTCGAACGTGTTTTAGGGCAATTGATAGAGGGCAATTATTATTACAATCTATCCTTGGAGGGGGTAATTAATAGAAGTAAGGTAATTATTAAAGGAGAGCAATATATAGGTTTTATAGTATTTATTTAATTAAAAATATTGTATTCTTAAAATTAATAAACTTAAAATTTAAATTTATGTAGTTAAATTTAAATACGGGTTTGAATATTATTTAAATATTGAGGGATTACTTTCTAATAATTTATAGAAAATTTTGATTGATTTTGTATTTTTAACGTTAAAATTTAAAACTAAAAAGAATTTATTAATTTAATCATAAATCAATTATTATTACTGTTAACTTTTAAATTTGTTTCATTTATAAATTAATTAATTATTTCTTAATTTCTCTTTTGAATTCTAATTAATTAATTTAAAATATAAAAATTTGTTTTTCTCATTTATTTAAATTATTGAGAACTTTAACATTTATTTTTAAAATATTTAAATATACTTTTTTCTCATTTTTAAGTTAAAAACATTAAAATAATTTTTAAAAAATGCAACCAACAACCAACAACAATAACAACACAGCTTCAACTTCCCCAACATTAAATGTTGAAAGTAATCAAAAACAAAAACAAGGTGGTCTTAACAATTCACACAACAACAGTGGAAATAATTTAACACGTAAATTAAATAAATTAATTGTTTTTTGTTTTTGTTGAGTATATTTTCTCTAAAATACAAAAATTGTTGCTTCTTTTGTTGGTTAATTTATTTTTGATTTAATTATATGTTTTAGTGTTTCTATATTTTATTAAAAAAACAAATTAATTTCCACTAAAAAAGGTACAAAATCATTGGATACTTGTCGTGTTTGTGGCGATGGCCCAGCCAGAATGCATTATGGAGTTCCGACGTGTTTTGGGTGTAAAGGGTTTTTTAGAAGGTTTAAATAAATTAAATTGAAGATTTTAATTATAATTTAATTTAGAACATTAAAAAGGACAAAAGAATATACTTGCAGATATAGTGGAAATTGTATTGTTGATAGATGTAAATATGTATTTAAATTATAATTAAATTATTTTTCTCCGAAATAATTTTTTAAATTAATTATAATTTTAATAAGTTTCAATATCTCAGAGTTTTTTATAATCCATGAAAATAAATTTTAAATTTAAAATCTATGTAGTAAGTAGTTCCCTCTGTTTAAGGCTTCTTTAACTTCTACATACATATATAATACATAACTGTCTTCATCTAAAATCTATCAAGCAATAAAAAGTAATAACACACATATTTTAACAAGCTACTTTAATCCTATATTTTTTAAATTATGATTTCCAAACTTATTCCAAATTCCTAAGAAAAGAAAAAAATCTAGAAAATTAAAAATAAAAATAAAATTAATTAAAATAAGATGAACGCAATTCCTGTCGTTATTGTCGTTTCAAACGCTGTTTAGAAGTTGGAATGGATCCAAAAGCTGTAAGACCAGACAGAGATGCTGCTGGCCGTACACATCCAGTTAGACGAAGAATGTCTAGGTTTAAAGAAAATATTTTTTAAATAAAAATATTTTTTAAAGAAATTTATTAAATGGGGCAACAAATAATAATGTTAATGAAGTTGTGGTTGTTGGAGGTGAACAAGAGATTATTGCTGATAGTGGTGGTAATAATGGGGTTGGTGCTGCAGATGCAGAATGGGTACGGAAATTGCCTGTAAGTATATCTGTCTAAGTTAAGGAGTGGGGGGGGGGAGGGATGTGTCCACCAAAATTCCACTTTCCTATTTTATTTTTAAAAAACAGTCTCGAATTTTTAACTTCAATTTCTTTATCTAACAAAAAAATTTTTTTTAATTTTTTAAAATAGAATTTCAAAGGTTGAAATGCGTACTTTATTAATGCAAATAATGAATATTGATGTTATGGTATACAAAATTAGAAATTAAAGTCGAAAAAATAAAATTCGTATATTTAGATACAACATGGAGACACCCAAGAAAGTCCAGAAAATTTATATCCACTCCCTTTTACAAGTTTACGGCAAATGTTTGAAGACCCGACATGTTTGGATGGAAAAAGGACTGAAGTATTTAATTAAAAATTATTTTTTTTTAATTTTTAAAAATTAATTTTAGATAAGATATGAGCATTATAGACAAGTTGAACCGAAAGAATTAACGGTAAAAATAATTAAATAATTGAATAAATAATAATTATTAAAAATATTTTTAAAGTATTTGGCACATCGGAGATTAATTGCTGCTGTGGATACAATTGATCATTTATGTGCTCTAATGGATTTGCACAATATTAGAGACAAAGTATTCATTTAACCTTTAAAAATTCCTCTTAATCTCCATCCATTTCATTAAATATATTTTTACCCAAAACCCTTTAATTAATAATTATTTAAAATAATTTTTTTAAAGTTAATCCTCACAAAGGCAGCATATGCACCATTATCTTTATTTTGTTCTGTGTCATCTACAGCACGTGTATATTTTTTAATTAAAAAATATTTTTATCACTAACCATCTTATTTTTAAAAGAAAAATTTAAATTTTTCTTAATCCTTAATTTCCTTAAAATTTAATTTAAACCCCTTTTAAAGATAACAAATAATCGAGACATTCTCTGCCTTTGTAATTATGGTTATGTACCTAGAGGTGCTCATCTTACATATTCAGAACCTTAGTAAAGGAATATTTAATTTTAAATTCAAAAATATTTTTTTTAGCCATTTTGCTAATCGAATTGTGGACAGAGCTTTAGATGAACTTGTAGAGCCTTTTCGAACATTTAACTTTAAAGAACGCGAAATTGTTTTAATGAAAGCTATTGTTGCATTAAATCCTTGTTTGTTTTTAAATAAAAGATTCATTAAATAGGGTTGGGGTTTTCGAGTAGGGCCGACAAGTCTTTTTCGGGCCAAAATTCGATGCCTGACTCGATCTTTCTTATCGGGCCCCCAACACTTAAAAACAGTAATATCAAATTAGCAAACATTCCTAATAAATAATTTGTTCAATTAACCTTTAATATTTCTAGATTTGCCAAGTTTATCAACAGAAGCAGCTGAACAAATAGCCGATTTTCGTGATAGGCTACAGGTGAATATTTAAATAATTTTTCAATTAAATATTTTAAAAAAAGGAAACATTATATAATGTTGTTCGAGAAAGCCATCCAAAAGAAGTAGCCTCTTCTCGTTTTGGAAATTTACTTTTATTTCTTCCAAATATAATGATACTTGGAAGTATTATGATTGAAAATTTACAATTCTTACATTCATTTGGAAGTCACTGTGGAGGTATTGGGCCTTTACTTGGCGAATTACTTGAGGAAGAGTGTGAGGAAAATATACAGGATTGTGTGGGGTGTGGTGATGATTTGTTGTCTTTAAACAGTGGAGAGAATAATGATGGGGTATATTCTTAATTATTTTGATAAAAAAGGGTAATTTAGATAGAATTTAAGGGTTTTAAAAGGCCATAACATCTCAATTGTCTTTTACCGTTAGCCGTTGGGGATGCCCTGATAATAATGCACCATTTTTGAAATGACACATAATCATTATTTTTTCGGGCAATACTATTTATAAACAGAGATGGCCTGGAGAAACACCAGTTAAGTACTTGAGCGAGTATAATCTTGTTAATCGTTCCCACCTTTTTTGACCTCGGATTTATATAGTAATTTTGTAGTAGAGTTATAAAGATTTTTATATGTATATATTTTAAATGGTTCCGTGACTTTTGCGCCGAGAACATTTGCGCCGCGACTCTTGCGCCGCGACTTTTGCGCCGCGACTTATGCGCCGAGTGACTTTTGCGCCGGGGAACATTTGCGCCGCGACTTTTGCGCCGGGGGACTTTTGCGCCGCCACTATCATTAAAAATATATCAATAACTACAGCCGGACCTCACTTTAGTAGGGTTGTCGAATAGTTGGAAATCTTCGGATATCCCGGATCTGATTTCAGAACTGAAAATTTCGGATATCCGGCATTTTTCGGATCCGGATTTTTTAAACAATGGCGGCGCAAATGTCGCGGCGCATAAGTCGCCCGGCGCAAAAGTCGCGGCGCAATTGTTCTCGGCGCAAAAGTCGTGATACCTTTTAAATATAGTCAATGTGCCATTCCCAATCAACCGGTTCAATAACTTCACAATTCGGCAACACTTCAACAAAAAGTTGTGAAGATATTACAATGTTACAGCAACAATTTCAACAACATCAACAATATTCTGCTCCTAATTTAATGTTAATTAATTCTCATATACACCTCCCTTTTAATTTATAAACCCCCATATATTTCAGTCATTTTAAATTACCTCAAAAATTAATTACCTTTGAAGTTTTAACGGAAGTCAAAATAATCTCCAATTTATTGAAACCTTTTGGAATTCTTTAAATATTATTTTTAGGGGATCTTCTTCTTCAATACCAAACGAAATAAACAAATCTAATGATAGACTAGTAGCATTGCCTTCTGTTGATTCTGATCCAGACTATAATACTACGTTAACTGCTGAAAGTTTAAAACAACAAGGGATTCAACAACAAATGGAGGTGATAAAGATGCACAAATATTTTTAAAAACTTGAGGGTTATAAATAAATATAAAAGTGTTATAGAAAGTCGTTTTAAATTGAATCGTGACCTGATTTAAGATTTTGGTTACATGAAATTCTAGATAAGTGAATGGATGTTGAATTTTGAAACTTTATGGATCGACTTTTTTATTTTTTTTTTGTTAAAGGTTGATGACAGTCCTCCACAATTTACTCAATCTCAACAACAACAACAAAATTTATTAAACACTTCACAACAACAAGAAAGACCTCAATTCTTCATTGACCCTTCAATAAACCAACAACAACAACAACAACAATTTCAGCAATATCAACAACAACAACTACAACAAGTAACTACTGTTGCATCTACAAAGTAAAAATAATTTTTTAACTTTCTTTACATAATAACAACATACATATTTTAATAATTAAATTTTTAAACATTCGAGCATTTAATTTAAAATTTATTTTGGTCCCCTTTCCCCCGCTCCGAACATATGATGGATGAATTTGAATCCTATTATAAATCTCTCTCTCGTCAGATAAATAAATAAATATTTATTTTACTAAAATTAAAAACAGATTTCATTTTCTAGACACATCTTTACAATAGAAAAATCTTCCCCAACAACAGCACTTCTACAACAACCATTACAATGTTCTCGTGAACGTTGTGCTGCAATGATGGGTAATAGATGCTCAAATGATGAATGCCCAGCGGCTTTAGCTGCTATATTTCAACAACAACAACAACAAAGTATTTTTAATTTAAATTAAAATAATTTAATATATTTTAGTGCAACAAACAATTAACAACCAAGAGAATAATTACAATAATAATACTCAAATATTTTCACAATCACCCCAATCAACAATAAATCGTTCACAATCATTTTCGTAAGGGAAAAAGTATTTTTAAATAAAAAATTTTTTTTATTTAAAGTTATTTTGATGTTTATGATGCCAACCAACAACAACCTTTTGATGATTTAATAACCCCAACAGCAAATACATTTATAGGGAATTATCCTCCTTTACCTAATACAAATTCTTATAATTTCTTTCAAAATGAACAATAAATATTTTTTTAAATAAAAATAACTAAAATTTTATTTTTAATTAATTGTCTCAAGAAATTATTAAAATTGGGTATTACATGTTTTTAAAAAATACTAGAAAATATAAAATAAAAAAAGTAGAGTATACATACATATATTAGAAAAATCTCGGATCCGATCCGGATTTGGATTTAGGTTGATACCCTGGACAGGATTCTTGATCTGGATCCAGGAAAAATCATGACAGGATGCAAATCCAGACCGATCTTTATAAACAAGCTTAGATTTCTATAAGTATCAGAAAATCGAATACTTCCGGTTAGGGTCGGGATTGTCTGCACGGTTCTTGGATTACGAGAATAACTGGTTTTTCTCCCAACTTCCAAGTACATATCCACCCACACCTTTGTGTTCCTTTAGATTAAGTTTATTTTTATTTTGCTAAATACTACATTTGTGTTATTTTCGCCCTATATTGTTTGTTCTTCTCACACTTTTTTTGTTTATTTTGATATATCTGATTTTAGTAAAATAAAAAAATGAAGAAGCAGAATTTTTGTAAAAATAAAAGAAAATAAAGTTTTTATTTTAACATTCACTTTATTGTTGTCCAAGTACCTCTTTCTGTCTCTGTCTCTTTTCAATTTTGTGTCGTTTTATTCATTCTCAACAATCATTGCGAGAATGATTCATTTTTATTCACTAGGATTTTAAAAATATTTTTGTAAAAATGAACTAGTAATTTGAATTTAGTTTTTTTTCTATTATAGTCAAAAATAATAATTACAAAAATTATTACATTAATTTAAGTACATTTTTTCAAATTTCGTTGGCCATTGGGGTGAGCGATCCAATCTCACCTGTCAATTTACACATTATAGTGTACAATTTTTCAACCACAAGTTTAAACACATAATGAGATCAGAATGTACATATTTATTTTTCAAACAAACGGCATCAAGCATCAATAAATAAATGCCAATATATAGCATAAGTTTTACTCCACTTCTTTCATTTGTTTTAATTAATTACTTTATATCCATTGTGGAATCTTTATGGGTCTGTTTTGAGCAAAATCTGGCTTTAAAAATTTATTTAAAGGTTCCACCCGATTATTGGGCTACAGTCTACAGGAATGGCCAACTTGAATTTGGAAGATCAGTCGATGAACTTATTACTTTTCTTCCAGAATTAAACAGCTATATTGGCTATTGGTTGAGAGTTTTGTTTATTATAACTAGTTGCTTATTAAGGATTGAATCGAGACTTTGTTTAAAAATCTCGGTTATAATAATTTTTTTAGATATGTTTAAGAAGTCTTTTCTCTCTATAAAATCATTCTTTTGTAGGATTGAAGACAATCCAAATACAAAACAAAGAATAGAGGGTTATGGTCATGTTTCTATTGTCAACACAGACCCTCCTCGTTTTTGTGGAAATTTCGCTTCGTTTAATACAAATGAAAGTAAAAATATTTGTGGAGGATTTCGTGTTTTGGCTTGCAAAAAATCAAACAATCGGAAGAAAAATCCGTAAATATTAAATTTAAATAATTGGGGCTTTGGTCTGCAAATATGTAAAACATAATATTAAAAAATCTTATTATTATTTATTCCTCCTTTCTAATATTTTCTCTTTTTTTACGGTTTGAATTTTCAACTTTCGTACAACCATCTCGTGCTGTTGAATATTTAGATGTCCAAATTGCGCGTCTTAGATTGAATGATGATAATTGGATATATGGAAGTTCAAAACTTTCTGAGAAAGTGGCTATTGCCGTTAATCCAAATAATGGGAAATTAATTAGGGTATTTTTTAAATTTGAATGAAAAAAAATATTTTTTAAATTAAAGTTTTCCTTCGCTGATAAACCGTTGGAATATAGGGAAAATGTAAAAATTTTAGAATGTTCTAACGATTTTCCAGTAGAAGATATACTTTCAACAAGCTGGCCTTATCCAACATTTCCACCAATTTATGGAGGGAAAAAGAATAATTTAATTGATATTAAAAGATTTCCACCAAAAACAACAACCTTTCCAGCACCAACAACAATCCTCTTAACCAAACAAGTAACGACAACGTTAATACCTCCTGTAGTAGAGCAAGTAATTATTAATAAAAAAAACTTTTTTTAAATTATTTTTCCTATTCAAGACTACAACAACAACAATACCAACAACTATAAAGCCTCAACAACTTTCAAATAAAGGAGAAATACAAGAGACAGATTATATTGAATTAACTGGTGCTGGTATAAATTGGGGTTTAGATAAAGAATTTGTAAAAAGGGAAGAAGGAAATGAAAATTTATTTAACAATTCAATTACAAATAAATTGTGGAGGGAGGATTCAAATATTTTAACAACAAACCATCAATATCATCAACATCGTCGTAAAAGATTTAAAATGAAAAGACGACAGGAATATTAAGAAAATTTTTTAAAGAAATTTTAAGACAACATAAATACTTTATATAGTATGTATATTTTTTGTGTTATATATATATATCAATTTTATATATTTTTTAATAATAAATGTAAAGCATATAATATGTAGCTGTTTATAATTCCTAAGGCTGTGCAGTAGGCGGTGTGGCACCCAGTCGCCGTTTAACCTTTTGGACTAGCTAAAGGAGGGAAATAGCTATAGCCCAGCTCTGATTTACTTAAGTAAAAGATCCAAGATTGAACAGAAAATTGTGGGGGCATTATATATATACTTTACTTAAATTCCTTGTTTCCGGAATAAACAATAATTACTTAACAAAAAAATATATTTACAAAAAATATGTACATTTTCTAAAATACAATTTTAATAATTTTTAAAAATTAAAATTTGTAAAAGTTTTAATTTAAAATCAAATTTTATAAATATCTCTACTTTCAGAAAAACACATTTAATCTTCTTCATCAATTAATTTCTCAGCTATAAAACAATGATTCATTACATAATATTCATAATTAAATAAAAACCACTTTTGATAAGCCAATTCTTTAAATTTATTTTTACAAACATTTTTAATTTCTCTTAATTTTAAAATTTTAATTAAATTAATTTTTGGATTTATTTCTTTTATTTTTTCTTTTATTTTCCCCTCTTCATTATCCATTTCAAATAAATAATTTCCATCATCAATTAAAGGCTGTAATGTTAATTTTGAAATTATTTTACTTTTCTCAAACATTTCTTCTTCAAAAACAAGCTCTCCATCATTTAAATTATTCTCAGTAGTTTCTGAAACTAAAATTTCTATTCCCTCTTTAAATCCTTTAAATATTCCAATTTCTTCTTCTGTCAAATTCTCAAATATTTTTGAAATTAATTTTTCATTATTATTTTCGAATACTTTAACAAAAAACATAAAATATTTAGTTTCAAATGAATCTGTTAATTTAATTAAATAATTCCCCTTTTCTTCAAATTTTAAACAAATTTCAATTAAATTTTTTCCTTCTTTTTTTATAAAAATATTTAATTTAATTAATTTTATTTCTTCTATATTTTCATTGTCAATTTCCTTTTCTGGTTCGAAATATAATGGATAACGAAATAAAGGTTTAATTGTTAACATTCTCTATAAAAATTGGGAATGTTTTTAGTAAAAATTAAATTAATAAAAATAAAAACAAACTTCATATCTTGGGTTGTAATTTGTATATATACCTCCATATTTCATTTCATATTCTAAAAGGCCACCCAAAAGTAACTGCACACCTTATTTATTGCATACATAACTTTATTCAAACTTAAGATAATGAAATCAAATAACGAATAATTGATAGGGAAATATGTAAGTAAGGAACAAAAATAATCATGAATTTTCGAAGTGCCCACGGAGTTCAAGGCGCGTGGCACCTCTGTTGAGATTTTCTACCATTCCGGGACGAGTGATTGCCGCAACGAATCCAAACTTTTGGGTTATTAAGTGTAGATCCTTGCCTCCAAATTCCAAGAAACTAAATCCGGGAGTAATTTGGCTGTATTTGTTACAAGTTAAAACTGTGTAAATTTGGGGGCTCACCAACCATGCATATCTCTTTATTCTGACTCAGGATTCACGAAAATTAAGGTTATTTTGACCTTTCTACAAATAACAGCCCATAACATTAAGAAAGAATAACTATAGGATTAGAAAGAGAAGACTTTGGGGCCAAGAAAAGAGAAGATTTTGCCGATTCGACCATATTTTATTCATAAAAAAATTTTTTCTTTTGAAAAATTGACACTTTACATACTAACAATAAGAAGGTACTTGCATCCCTGGGTCCTAACTCGTTTCATTTTTTTTGTAAGAAGTTGTCTTTTTTGAGCATGTAGGGCTTGAGTCCTGGTTCATTTTTGGTCATCCTTCGAATTGATATTCTCTTGTTAAACCAGATTTCCTTGCACGTTTTCTTGTCGAAAAAATCCTTAGTAGTAAATTAATTCCTAGTATATAGGAATTTAACCATGTTCATGTTTTGGTTACGTTTACTGACCAAGGTCTGTTCTTTTCTAAAGTCAAGATTCATTCCTTCCCTTAATATTTTTTTAGCAAAATGGACTGTGCTTATTTCAACATTGAGAAGAGTTGAAATATACAGAATCATACTTATAAGCTTTATGTAAAAGAGAATTTAATGGGCTATAAAATTAGTATAAAAATTTTAAAAATGAAAACGGGAATAAAAGTTATGATAAAATGAAAAGGCAGTTATTTTTGGGTTACCGTATGAACTCATAAATCTACAAATTACAATCCCCTTTCTGTAATAATTATTGAAATTGTCAACAAATTTTAATTTAATTATTTCATCGTTAGAATTTGCATAATTTTCCAAAGAATACATTTTTGTATTTTCCTTTGTATTGCAAAAATGACCTACTGGGGTTATATAATATTTTTCTGTATTATATTTATTTATCATTGAATCAAATTCAACAGAAATTTCAATTAAATTTTGATTATTTTTGTTTATAGAAATATTTTTTGAATTAATATATTTTCTACTTCTAATAACAAAATTCTTTTCATTTAA